CAGTTCCGAAACTAAAATACTTTATAATACATATTATATCCATGCTTATTGTCAATAATGAAAATGAATCTCCTTTTTGATTCTATATAACAAAATGCATGCCAAAGCTTAATATAAAGTCATCTAAACTAAATTTAGAATATGATGACTTAAAAACAACGAATCATTAATTAAACAGCTATTAATAGTAAATCGAGTCATACAGTGAGCACCAACCTACTTTTTAACAGGATTGCAGTTCTTTAAAGCACTTCTCTGACAGATATCCTTAACAATTTAGGCTCTAATTGAATAAGTTGAACCTAATTCTGTTACATGTACAATCTTATATCGCTACTAGAAATCATTATAATATATAAATCTGTAATATAATGTCTTTTTAGCTTTTCACCGTTTTTTAAGATTTGACTTTCTATTGTTTAGGTGGATATATAAAAATAGTGCTAAGCTGTATTAGACATTAAATATAAACAAGTTAAAAGAGAAACTGTTTTTTGTAGAAGCAGAATGTAGAAGAATAAGAAAATGGAATAAAAGTTACTAAAATAACTAAAATTAAACAATAAAACTGCAAAAACTTAATACTTATTAGTGTAAATTAGTATTTAAATCAAATACAATTATACGAGATGTGAACAAGTAATGAGAATTTTCAATTTTTTTAATAGTATTTATACAATTTTCTATCCTCTTCAAAGTAGTAGTGAATAACACTGTGTGTTGGAACACCTTTTTAGGTTTGGTCTTGAGCTCGCCCTACACTTTCTCATTTATTGTTAAATATTATTAACTATTTGTATGTGTTTTTTATGAAATGGGAAAAAATTACTGATTGAGATCTCTAGAGACTAAAGTGGTGGCGACATTACAGTGATGTTATTTTTTACTAAAAACTATTGGATAAGCAAAACAAAATGATTTTTGGAACAAATTTTACCACCATATCTTTTACGTCCAAATAATTTCTATTTTTTTATATTTCCTGAAAGTTTTAAAAAATAATATTTTCAATGTTGATAATATAATACAAACATCTAAAAACATCTAATACATTTGCATGTAAGATGCAAAAAACATTTTCCGCTTGGAATGATATATGGAAGAAATATTAAAAATTTAGTGATTATACATATATAAGTTATTAATAAACTATACTAAGCTTGCTTTCATATAATAACAACATTATATAAACATGTTAACCCGATATGCTTTATGAACTTATCTACACGTAACTTAATTTAATAGAATTTTACAATAGTCACGATATGAGTTTGAAAACATAAGTTTGCTTTCATTTTTTTCTAAAACAATCCAAAGGCAAATCTAACCACTTGATGGGTTGTTAATGGAATATCCAAAACTAATTCATTAAACAAAACATATGTACATATGTTATCTAAACAATATAAAATAAAATCAACTATATTGCTTCTACATAGTTATGTATATAACATTGTAGTTTTATGTATTTTTTATTTCTTTAATAAATGAATCATATAATATTTAGCTATTACATACGCTTATAATAAATATTCATCTGAATAACCAACAAAGACTTAATATCTCGATTAGGAAAATACAGTTAAACCTCTCTAAACCGAACCGTCCTATAACGAATTCCTCTCTATAAAGAAGTTTTGTTGAAGACACAGCAATTTTTTAAATTTCTAGACATATTTGAACCTCTCTATAGCGAACCTCTCTATAGCGAAGTCCTCTCTATAACAAAGTTTTTTCAGGCTCGCAAACAAATTTTTGCATACAAAAAACCTTTCAACTAACACGTTTTAACTTATAAGAACCTTCTTTTTAATAGGAAAGGGCACATTTTTGGCTCCTGAGTGAAATGGTTAAGAGGGATTAAGGGAAGGAAAGACCATCGTGTGCATTTACTGAAAGTAAAAATTTTAAATGAATCTCGCTTTTAATACGAGCGATAAAGAATTTTAAGAGCGGTTTAGAAATTGTTGAGTCTAACTACTAACTTATTGGAAGTGTTTCTTGACAAGAAAAAAGTTGAAATATCCAAAAAAGTAAAAGCAACAGACTTTTTTCGACTTAAATAAAATAAATAATTATAAAAATTTAAAATAATAAATTAACTTATTAAATTAAACTTTAAATTAAAGTAGTTAATAAAAATAATTTTTATCTTAATACAACCCAATATATGGTTAACGTTTTTAATATTTATATAAAAAAATATATATTTTTATTTAAAAAATCATGAATTAAATATATTTTTAAAATAAATACGTACATAACAAACAAAACTTGTTTAACCTTTCTCTAACGAAGACCTCTCTAGAACGAAGTTTTTTGCAGGCACCAACGACTTTGTTATAGAGAGGTTTGACTGTATTTAAAAAATGATTGAGTCTAATTCATAATAAAAGAGTGATTAAGAAAAAATAATGAAATTTAGACATATATTTGGTGTAAGTTTTGTAATTTGTAATGCAGAGTATATTATAATCTTTTTAAAAATTTATTACAGTTCTTCCAACTTCGCAATTCTAAGCCCTACTTTATGTTAAAAAGGTTTTTCATGGTTTGATGTTTGTGAACAATTTTTAACTTATTTTCAATCTTCTGAACTAAAAATCTCATTTATGTTAACTATTCTAATAATAATAATTATAAACCTTGCTCGACGTTAATGATTTCGATCAGCCTCTTATACTAGGCATATACCGTCTATAAGACGGTTCTACCTTTTGAGCCACAACGCTACGTCCTTTATATCAGTAATGTTGCTTATTCTTCCTCATTAAGGGCTTCAAAATGACATTTATTTCATTTAACATTGTCCTTCTCCAAGTTGCTTTGGGACGATCTCTTCCTCTGCTACCTTGCGGGGTGTATACCAACGCCTGTTGACAAATTTCGGTGGGAGCCTTTCAAAGTGTATGCCCGATCTCAATTTAAGTATTTGGCTAATTTTTAGGACGAAAGACCTAGCAGTCCAGTTCCTTATTCTTAGTTAACTTTAAAATTAATTTTAATGTTATTTAACAAATAAATAAATAAAATATTAGGCTAATTTAGCAATTACTGAACTGCTTTTTAAATGTGGAGTAGTGGACTCCAGCAGTTTTTATTCTGCATAGGTATAATTTTTTGGTTGGAATTTAATCCATATTAATTACTACTGTATACTGATGATTTCTCTATAAAAATAGGTATGATAGTTAAAAAAAAATATACAATTATTTTATTATTATTGCTTAGAAAATTGCTTATATATTAGCATTTGTATGCATATCAGATTTTTTATTGTTTTTAGAATTGTTTTTTTTTAATTGTCTTTAAACTAACTACATGTATGTATTTATTTATTAATCTCATAATTTATTTATCACACCTGTTCTTGTGTCTTTTTTTTAAGCTAATTGTCAGAGAACTTCTCTACTTATAAAAAAGCGGTTAAGCATTTAATTTCAAAGCTTATTAGTTAAAAGGCGATACTCTATAAAAATGCTATATTATATATAATATTTTTGAACTAATATACATATATATGAAGCTTCAAGGAACAATTTTATATAACCCATAAATTAAGTTAACATTTATTGTGTTTAGTTTCGGTATTAATCAAATTCGGTGCAAATAAAGTATGTAAAAAATAAGGATCTTTTTTGAAATTGCTATCCATACTTTTCTTTGAAGACGCACTACAGATTGCCTAAACTGATCTAAATTAGAATTTTTAGAATTAATAATTACTTGTGTATACAATTATCAATCTAAAATTAAACTTCTTTAGTAATAATAACAAATAAAGTCCAATATATAAAATGAGATGTTTCGATTTAAGCAAATACGCAATGCTTTTCCTTGGACACCAGGTACGTTTCTACTCATACAATTCCTTTGTTATTTACTTGATATCAAAAGAAATATACTTGGTATCAAAGTATCAGTATAATAATACTGATTTTTCTGTCGAGGTTCTAGCTGTTGGCGGCAGCCTACAAGCAGTGCTTCACCAGTAGAACAAAAAAAAAATCATTGCTTTGCAATAGATCTATTCTGACTACTGTGTATTCTAGCTTTTAGTAATTATAATCTTACTTTTAAAACATAATCATGTTAGTATCTACAATTTTATATAATTAGATATGCCTATATCGATTAATCAATATATTTGTACATATATTTTATAAAAAATACCTTTTGTAAATGTTATTTGTTTAACTATAAAGCAGAGATATTACTCAGTCTATAAACAAAAACAGATATATTAATATGACTAAACGAATTCTTAATTATAAGGAGTTTATTAGTGCTAAATCTAATATACTCTTTTAATAGCAAGTGTAAATTGCAAAGATATGATTCAGGAATATTTTTGCGTCAATAAAATTAATCATACATCTCCCCATACTTCCTAACATGTTCCCTAACAAGTAATAAACAATAATCTAATGTATTCTGTTTCAGAATTACAAAATTGTTATTTGTCATCTATAATGAACATACATACTTTATCCATAGTGTTCAAAGTGTTAAGATTTACAATTCTACATCAATAAAGATACATTTACACATTTTTAAAAGATAAGCTATATTTTGTAACCTATATGTATATATTGTCTAATGATCGACAAATTAATATAGAGAAGTCATATAATTGTAAAATAACAATACATATTAATATGCACTTTGGTCATTCATTTTTGCAAAATAATACAGATGCAATGTATAGAATTATCTTGTGCTTTCATTTGAAATTTAATAATATTCAACAGTTTTGTAATGTGATTATCAGAATGCCAGTAATAATACTTAAATTGTTTTTACTAAGTTGAAGCCCTCAAAAGCAATTTCGATTATAATAGCACTGGTAAATAATCCTGGTATTGATTTAATAAAATAAAATAGATTTCAAAACCAACTGGCTTAAACCCCGTCACACTAAACTTGTTCTTGTTACATTACACAAAACATGATTTATAATAAAATAATTTTTTAGAATGCTTAAAAATCTTTTATAATTACTTTTAGGGTTTTTAACAATCTACAAACAGGTCGAACTATAAGTTTTTAAAATTACAAATTTTCAAATTGAATCACTGATTACAATATTACGAATACTACATAACTATATTTCTTTCTCTTCCACTCACATAATTGTTTCTTAAAAATATCTTTTAGTATTTATTTCTCACAAATACAACAAATCTATTTTGAATATATTGCTCCCCTCTTACTTGCGTTACTCGTCTAGTTAACTTTTTTTTGGGAACTCTCAGTCACAATTTGAAAAGAAGTAAATTAATATAAAAAATTATTTATATATTAAAATACAGTTAAAATTTCAATGGGCTATGTTTCACAGATCTGGTTCTTGCGGAAATACCATTGCCATATGAGACTGGAGGCAGTTCGGACGCCGGGATCTTACACCTTTATGTAAAGTAGCCAACCTATCTCGAAGGATTGCTTTGGTCAATCAGCACTCTATTGATTTCAATGTTTGGTATTACAAGAGTAGTTCGAAGAAATGGATGGCATACCTAATTTTGGGGTATACATTAGACTGAAAAGTTTTCGGAATTCTCATTTAAAATTCGCGCGCTGTATATTTTTCGATATTTTAAGTTTATGTAGTTTGGCAGCACTGTCCTTAATTACTATGCCAAAAATGAGCTCGATCTGTCAGACAGTTCGTTTACGGCAGCTGTTGAAACCAGTTCACCTCAGTAGTGCGTTGCGAAATGTCTTCGACGGTCGTACGACCGTCCTGGAAGGCTTTGTACCACTCATAAACTTGAGTTTTCGATAAAACTGATTCCCCATAAGCCTTTTGTAGCATTCGCAACGATTCTGCACACGAAATTTCGTTCGAAACACAAAATTTGATGCAAACTCTTTGTTCAATATTTTTTTCCATTGTTTTTTTCGCAACGCCCTACTGAGGTGAACTGGTTTCAACAGCTGCCGTAAACGAACTGTCTGACAGATCGCGCTCATTTTTGGCATAGTAATTAAGGACAGTGCTGCCAAACTACATAAACTTAAAATATCGGAAAATATACAGCGCGCGAATTTTAAATGAGAATTTCCGAAAACTTTTCGGTCTTAATGTACACCTAATTTTCAGGTCCTAAGTATAGGAAGCACAATAAATACAAACATAGAATGTTTCTAATAAGTGGAAAAAAATTAAATTATAAGAGAAACGAAGGGGATTTAAACAAATTTATTGGTTACTGGCACCAAATTAATTGTTTAACTAAGGTTTAAAAAAAATAATTGACTTTTGATCACTTCAGACATTTATTCAATTTAAGTTTTAATAATACTGAAGACAGTCTACAAAGTAAATCGAAATATATATATAAATAAACAACTCTAATTTTGTTCAAAATTAATAATTCAAATATTATTTATTACAAAAAAAATTATTTTAATTATTAGATTATTATTTTATAATAATAAGTTAGACATATTTTATATAAACAACATGAAACGTTCTTAAAGCTTTGGAATGTAAATTAAAAGATATATAATATGGGTATAATGGAAACTTCACTCTTCTAGCAATTTTTGCGTGGCGGCGATTGGCTATACTAGAGGCTTATTTTTTAAGGATCTTGGTCACATCAAGCCCCTTCTCCTTCCTCAAGAGCATTTAAGACTTTGATAAACTTTCAGAGTGGTTTTTGTACCTTTCAGTTTTTATACAATAACACAATATGTTAACAGACCTAAGTGGATGTTTAGGATCGCTAGTTAAATATAAAATAACAACAAATTAAAAAATTCCATTAATTTCTAATCAACCCTCGTATATTCTATTATTTCAATAATTTTAAAGAATTAATTAAAGATTATTTTTAAGTAAAGTAATCGCAACAGACCTAAGTTTTATACAAGTGCATATAAATGGTTCACATTGAGTGTGTAATAACTGCAGAGTTTATGATGGTCATATAGGTAGGTAGAGATATCAAGTACATATATCAGGTATTAATGAGGTTTACGATTACTTTTGCATTGTATAGAAATATTATTTAAGCTATACAATATACATAATCTATAACTGTGCAGTATATATCTACCCGAAAAGTGTAGTTTAAACAACATAAGCGATTATTATAAATCTGATTTTAACATAGCTAGTTTTTATTTAAAACAAATTTATTGTTTTAATGACCAAATTTTATTTAGTTATATATATTTGTAAGGGCTAATTAGTCAATGGTAAATAATACAAAACTGTTTAAATAATTGTTAAAAATAATTTGACCAATATATAAGGCTTAACTATAAGACGGATATAATAAACTGTGGTCGTCTATAAAATTACTTTCAATAAATCGTAAATAATCGTATACGTATATGTATTTGTCGTTTCATTGTTATTATATAGTAAAATTATTTATTCACAAATGTATTGAATTTGTTAGCCTGAAGATGAATTATAGTCATCTTATATCGTCGAAATATCGAAAACAATAATATATATTTTGAAAAACTGATTTAAAAAGTTGTGTATTATTTAGTATTGTCCAATTAGCCCATACAAAAATATATATATTTAGAAAAAAAATTGAAATATACAGTTAAATCTTTCTATAACGAACCTCCTTGTACCGAATTCCTTCCTATAACGAAGTTTTATTGAAGACACAGGAATTATTTTAATTAGTATATATATTCGAACCTCTCTATAGTGCTTCCTCTCTTCTTCTCTCTGACAAAGTTTTTTCAGGTACGCAAACCATTTTTTCATATAAAAAAACCTCTTCATAATGAATTTATTCAAATGCAAGTGAAACACTCAACTAATACGTTATAACTTATGTTTATATGAATAAACATGAATGAAATATATTTTTAAAATTAATACGTACATAATTCCCAGTCAAAACAAAATCAAAAAAAAAATATTGTTGAACCTCTCTCTAACGAAGACTTCTGTACAACGAAGTTTTTTGCAGGTACCAACAATTTCGTTACAGAGAGGTTTGACTGTATATCCTTCTCTTCGAGTTATTCAGACTATACAATTGATAATTTTGTATATGAATCTTTTAGAATAAAATGGAATGAATTCATGAAGCACAAACATAATTTTTTTGATTTACTAACTTATATATATAAAAAACGACGTTTTTTCTGTACTCTTAAATAACTAAGAGAGCTATTGGCATATACAACTACTTAGCTATTAGTTTAGAAGTTTGTTGGTAAATACTTTATTAAGATTTGTGGTTCATAATATTATTAAGCTAATATGGGTGGAATGTTGTGAAAACTTTTGGTATAATACAGTTTTACTACTATAAAGAGACTTACTACTGTATATGTTTAAAAAAAAAATGTGTGCTATTTATGGCGTAGCGTTAGGACTTGCCAAGATGAAGAGGAGTTAAATCTATTAACCACTTCCTGTGTCTCTGTCAGGACTCCAGAGACTTCAATATCTTGAGGATCGCATTTGGCTTGAAAGAGATAACGAAATCAAACTTATTGGATCTCCTCAACTTCATCCGGAAAACCAAATGGTTTAATAAGGATAACAAAAGTTAGCCTCTCTCGGCAACATTTTTGAAGGCATAACAATGGGCAATATATGTCTCCAAGTTTTGCGCGTTTTTATTTTGGAAATTACGATGTGAAATATATTTTTCACTGTGACCTATATTATCATCATCAAATAGTTTTACAGCTCGAAGTGAGCTTTAGCTTTATAATAGATTATTCAGTCTACAGTGTAGATGGTATTAAAGAGCTTACAAAACTGAATCTCAATATTCCATAAGAAAATCAAATCTAATGAAATAAAAAAGATAGAAGAATAAATTATATCCGATCTTTTCATTTGAAGTAATTTAATTAACAATGCCAGATAGTATTATCTTCTTATCAAGAATAATTTAATCTAAAAAAAGTACATTTATATAAAATTATTTTAAAAAAATTTTTTTGTGCTTATATGAAACATTTAAACATTAAGTCCTTTTGATTTGATTTATTTCGAATTATCTCATAATCTTATCGTGCGAGAAACAAACACTGCCTTTTGTTTAGCAATTAAAATAACAAAAACTTAAAAACGTGTTGAGTGTTATCAAAACGCATAATAATGAGACAATAAAGTGGCGTGTTACAGAAAAACCTTAAATATTTATTATAACCTGAACAAGTACCATAACTACTATAACTACTAATAAATCACATATAGAGAACCGAAGATATTTCACTAAATTTTCAACATCGAGTCATTAGGGGAAATGTTATTACGTTAACGTGCAATTATTGAATAATAACGACTAATTGGATTTAAGCTATTTATTTTTGTTTCCTCCGTGCAGAGAATGAGCTTTTGGTTTGCTGGACTTTCGACCATTTCATTCTGATTGAAATTGTGTGCACATATTTTAATTACATTTGTGCAAATGAAAAATTAGAATTCTAAAATGTATTATTTTCGCATATTTTTCCACTATATTCTATTGTTGTCTAAACTATTTTATTGGTATCTGTATCTGTTACTTACGTGATCCGATGAATCCGCAGTTAAGGAATTCCTTTTCTCACTGCTTGCATTTATGGTATCGGATTCATCTGCTCCAGTTTCATCGACGTTCCTTCTCCTTAGCTCTGCCATTTTATTGTTGTATATTTATTCGTAAATTCGTTTTTAAATTGAATTAAATTAATTTTTGTACACTTTTTTGGCTTCGCTCAATAATTAATTATATTAATTTATTCACTTTATATTTTAATATATTTTTTTCGTGTGCATATCTTGCATATTTTATAGATACTAAATTTTAATGAAGTAAATTTTTCTACATATGTATACTTTCTTCTGCGCCGCCTCCAGAACTTAAAGTAGCTATATAGGTGCTGTATTATTTTGTTTTTATTTGCTAATAGCCAAAACAAATTTATCCTTGGAGCGAAATCACATTTGTTTTTCTCGGCTGTGGATTTTACACTAATTTTCTTATATACATGCGCCTTTTCAACATTTTTAGCAAAACAATTTTTTTTAATTTTCTTTTATATTGATTTAACCTTCACGAATTGCCAACTACCTAAATTCCGTGCTCTTTATAAAATAAGTATAAAGCAAAATAAAAAGTGTGTAATACACAAAATGCTGTGCACAAATTTATGTAAAAATTTTCAAAGAACTTTTCTTTCGGAATATATATATTTAATATAATATATAATATTTTTATATTACATATATATTTTATTATAATATAAACTGTAAGTTTCTGATGATATTTTATAAAAAAATGTATATTTTATTTAAGACTGAATTAGTTGGGCTATAAAAAATCAGCTTAACCCTTTTATTTTTGAAAAACAATGCATTCAACTGTTCGTGTTGAATGAAAAAATGGGGAAACGTAGGAACCAATTAAATTTTGGTTTTCGTCGCAAGCGTAGGGGAAGTTTTATATCAGCTGATACAAATATTAAGTAACTGCAAAGTATTTCTTAATCAAATTGAACTTGTATTTTTGTTTTGAGTATATTCTGCTATAACTATTGAATTTTTCTGCATTTTTCCGGTTTTATTTTCTACTATCTGTATCAAATTTAGCTTTTATTTATCATTACAAGTTTATTAAATCGAATAGATGCATTCAGATTTACATGGTTAAACATTTTACAAAATAGCAAATTTGGTTTAAAAGTATGATTAAAAATTCTATACTTATTTTTAGGATTTTGTATTCGAATTTATATTATTATTAATACTTTTAAACAATATTTTATAAATGAAAACTATCAAACCTTTATAAAAAAGAAATTACAATTTTTATAAGCAAATTCATTAAAAGTTAATTAATACAATCGCATTTTTATATAATTTTATATAATATTTAATATTTTATTACGAAAACATATTATTTAAATATTTCATTATCTTATGACCTAAATTATTAATATGTTATTTTTGGACTATTTGGTTTTTTGAAATACAATTTAGTTTCTTGAAAACTACTTTAGATTAAACTCGAAATATGAAACTAAATAAACATTAGTGTGGAATAACTAAACTTGTTTTTGTTTAATTTTTATTTTTAACAAAATTTTGACGTAATTGACGAACTATTAGCCTAATATAACACAACTTAAATAACGCTTATTATTTAATAGAGTTAATAAGTGCAAACTGTTAGTTCAAAATAAATTATACATTTAAAATGAAGCTTTTCTTAATGAAAAGCTTAGCTTAAGGATAAATGTTATTATCCAATATTTTAACATATGTAAAGATCAAAGCATTGGGATAAAAAGAACGTTTGATTTAGTAGGTATAAAAACATTCTAAATGATAATTTAGCCATATAAATGTTATGTTGTTAAATGTAATGTTTAGCCATATAAACAGCAAGTAATATTATTAGAGCGTGAAATATATATAAATACCTATAATATATATTTGTAGTTGTTAAGTAGAAAATACAATAAAATAAGTACTGTATAAAAAATAGTTAGTATTGGCAACTCATTGAAATTACGAACTGTCATTAGTAAGACGCCGCTTTATAATAATTTTCAGTCACGTTAATTGTGTATATTGCAAAAAAAATTTTAGAGATTTCGTTTGAATAAAATATTCCTTATAAAGATTTCCAATTACTTTTTTTAAATAGAACGATAATATGGCTGCAAGTTTGCCAGGTGTTTTTGCTACGAACCTACAAGAAAAAATACTCCAGTCCAAAATTTTGGTCGTCGGTGCCGGTGGGATAGGTTGCGAAGTTCTTAAAAACCTTGTTTTGTCCGGATTTCCTCATATTGAAATTGTAACTAAACCATATAATTTGTATATAATTGATTTATAGATCATATTTTTTTTATTCCCAGATAGATTTAGATACTATCGATGTAAGTAATCTGAACCGCCAATTTTTATTTCATAAGGAACATGTTGGAAAATCTAAAGCACAAGTAGCATGTGACAGTGCACTTAAATTTAATCCCGATGCGAAAATAATCGCATACCATGATAGCATCACCGCGTATGTATTCTTTTGTGTTGAACGTAATGTAAAATCATAAATGCCGTTATTTTTAATTTTGTACAGAAGCCAATATGGTGTAAATTTCTTTAAGAAGTTTGATGTTGTACTAAACGCTTTGGATAATCGTGCGGCACGTAACCATGTTAATCGTATGTGTCTAAATGCTGAAGTGCCGTTAATTGAAAGTGGTACTGCTGGTTATAATGGTCAAGTTGAAATGATAAAAAAAGGTTTAACAGAATGTTACGAATGTGTGCCAAAAGCTGCGGAAAAAACTTTTCCTGGTTGTACTATTCGCAATACTCCATCAGAACCAATACATTGTATTGTTTGGGCTAAACATCTTTTTAAGTAAGTGTATACAACATTTCTATTAAAACAATAGAAATGTTAATAATTTATATTTTCAGTCAATTATTTGGCGAAACAGTCGATGAAGAAGACATATCACCTGATGTGGAAGATCCGGAAGCTCAAGTGAAAGACTCAGAATCCGTTGAAAAAGAAAAAGAAAATATACCCGAAAAAGGCAACGTCACACGTTTAAGTACTCGTCAATGGGCAAAAGAATCAAATTTTGATGCTGCCGTTCTTTTTGATAAATTTTTCAATGATGATATAAATTATTTATTAAGCATGTCCAATTTGTGGCAAAGTCGAAAACCACCTAAACCTATTAGTTGGAGCAATGTACTATTACAAACTCTTGATTGTAGTGTAGCAGATTTGCAAGAATATCACAAACTTTGGTCGTTAGCTACTTGTGCAAGAGTATTTGAAGATTGTCTTGAGAATCTTAAGGTTTCCTTTTCAAAATTAGGTGAAGCTGGGTCACTTAGTTGGGATAAGGATGACCAACCAGCAATGGATTTTGTTGCGGCTTGTGCAAACATACGAGCATATATATTCGAAATACCAAGAAAATCTCGATTCGAAATAAAATCTATGGCTGGTAATATTATTCCTGCAATTGCTACTACAAATGCCATTACCGCCGGCGTAGTTGTTCTAAAAGCTTTTAAAATATTACAGGGAGATTTTCAGAAATGTCAGTCGGTCTATACACGGTTGCGACAAAATGCACGACAACAAATGATTATACCCGATAAATCACTAGTTGCACCAAATCCCAAATGTTATGTTTGTGCTGTAGATCCCGCAATATATTTAAAAGTTGATACAAAGCGTATGCGCATGAAGGAATTACGCGATGATGTATTAATAAAAAATCTTAATATGATTAATCCTGATGTAACAATTGATGTCAAAGGTGTGGTAGTGCTTTCATCAGAAGAAGGTGAAACCGAATGTAATGATGAAAAGTTTTTAAATGAAATGGATATTGTTGATGGTGTACTTTTGAAATGTGATGATTTTTTCCAAAATTATATATTAAGAGTAATTATTGTTCATTTCGATGCTGAACGTAATGATGTTTTATTTGAAGTAATTGCTGATGAAGAACAATTGAAGCCTAAAGAAGCAGAACCGGAGAAGACTGACCATAAAAACGGTAGTACTAATAATTTGCATAATAGTGATATAGAAGACGGTCCTTCTACTTCCAAAAAAATTCGTTTGATTGAAATTGTCGAAGATGATGACGACCTATGTGTGATTGAAGATGACGAAGATGACGCTGCCGTCGTAACTGAAGCAACTGGTCAGTTAACTGTACAAAGTCCCGAAAAAGTATTAAACACTAATACTCCAAAAACAACCAAGCGTAAACAAAATCATGCTGAGAATGGAGTTGATGAAATAACAGAAATACATGATGTTGATGATGATGATAATGAGCAAGATATGGGACCTACAAAATCCAAACGTACACGGGTTGTTGAACAAGAAAGTGAAGTTATTGATATCGATTAAACTCTCGAATATTTATAAGCAAAATAAATATTTTTGAAATAAATGTGTCTAATGAAGAATTTACATTTTGAGTTTTATTTTTTAGCTTTTAACATTTTAAAACTTGTTTTATTAAATATTTTACTAAACTTCTTCAAAATGGAAGATTGAACTTGGGAATAAGAAAATTAATATAAAACCAGTTCTTAAATTTTACTTTTGTTTTGTTTTAAACGTTTTAAACCTTTTTTTTTTTATCAATAATACGATAATAAGAAGAATTAAGTACAATAAATAGAGTGTTTTGGAACAAATTTTTAAATGATGCTTTTTTGAAGTAACGTTTTAATTGCTTAACAAATATTTAAATAACATAATAATAATAATAATAATTAAATTAAATAATAATAATTAATTAAATAATAATAATAACATAATAAAATAATAATAAGCGAATAATTAAATAAATAATCGAAATTATTTTTATATAAATGGATTTGTAATCAAGAGGTTATATGAATTGAAATTATTAAACATTTGTATGTTTGGTTATCATTTCAAAAGAGATGGTAACTCTAATAGACATATGTTTTTGTCAAATGAAAAAGTCAATGTCTGCCAGTGGGGTTTAGAAAGGTTAGCTGAATGAATTTTATTTATTAAATTTTAAATTAAAATATTATTTTATTCCATAGATGTCTTTTACTTCAAAATGCTGTATAAATATTCTCAAAAATGGCATGAATTTTGTTGGCCGTTCAATATTGTTACGAAACTCCCACGTTATGACGCAAGCTAATTTAAATTGTACTGGAAGTGGTGTTATCGGTACAATACCAATGCCCTGCAATCAAACAATAGTGGATAAAGTTCAGCGCTTACTTGTGCCATTCAATACACTTTTTAATCAAGTCGCAGGATTCAAAGTGAAAGGACGTGTAAGGCGACGTTGTAAAGACTGCTATATTGTGACTCGGCAGCAGCGTTTATATGTTATCTGTCCAACTCATCCCCGCCATAAACAAATGTCCATGAAACCGAAACCGCATAATACATGGTTACTGACGCACGCTACTCAATCTAAAATAAGGCCCTATTAAAACTCAATTAAATTTGTATAATTATGTTTCAAGAAAAATCAAACTATATTGTTAGTACTTTACAAATTGTTATAACGTTTAAGAGCGCTAATACATAAAACTAGAAACAACTATACATGTTGATGGAGTTTATTGCTTTGGTCTGTATTCATACGTTATGTGCCTTACAAATAGATCGATAGAATAGGTCGTTTGTATTTTTATTTAAATTTATTTTAACATTCATTCAAACAACTTTCATTCGAATGTTGTATTGATGTCAACAATAAAATTTACAAATCATAGGTCTGTTCCATGAGCTACTCGTAGTAACTTTGAGTAACACTGTGTATAAACAAGTGCGTTCAACCAGTAAGTTTTCATGTAAAATTTACTTGAGTTTTATTACAAGAAGCTCGTGGAACAGACCTAATATGTGTATTTTCATTTTATGAAGAGAATTGTTTATGCTGATCCAAACGTAAACCAGCAATATTGTTGTAGAAAGCTGCAACATCGCATGTCGCAGTTTTCTATACAAAGTATAACAAGGCTTTTACACATGGAAACATGCTAGAAGTATAATAGTTCAATATCTAGTTAAGTAATTTCTGACACCTAACGCGAATACCTCAAATATCATCTTACTATGAATTTGTGTACTATAACACTACCCCCACAAGGATTTTCTACAAGATCAATTTATACATATTATTTTTATAGTAATTTGACATGTTGCTAGTAAAAAAAAAATTGAGCTTTTATTAAGATATTAGCCCCTAATAACTTCTAGGTCCGTTAAGAAGATATCAATTTTGAAGTCGTATATCCATATTTTCAAAACCAATCTAAAAGTTTTTTACATCAAAAGAAAAAATAGCAGTTCTTGCCGTCAAATTGAAATAAACAGTTTTTGTAATATATTACAACATACATATATCTCAGTATCGAGAATTTTAAACAAATTTATTTTTCAATTTAATTTATGGCCTATTAAATTATATAATTCAATTCCAGGAAATATAAATGTATTTTATATATAATATATATACATTTTAAGTCATACATTAAACAAATATAATGCAGAATAGAAAATTTATTACAATTATGATGAAAATCAACAAAAAGACCGATTTTACTTCAAGGGAATTTAATCTAAGAATTAAATTTTAACTAAAGTTTTCAAATGAATTTGTCACAATGTATAAAAAAGAACCCTGTGTTAAGGGATATAAGTTTTATTTGTTTGTTTAGAGTTCTTCATTCGTGAGAGCTTGATCTGTACCTTTTTTAATTACATCAATATAGAATACCGTAATTTGTTACCTGCTATTTTCTCAATAACATAAAACTGTCGATATGACTAAATATTATAAAATAAAAATATGTATATAAATAAAACCTATATAATTATAGAGAAATATAAAATTATATATTTACAATATCTAGCTACCTGCTTTTGTTCTCATAAATTTTTAAAAAAGTATTTCAATAGAAAACATAAGGTATATAAATTCTTTTTACTTAATGAATACTAATTAAAAATTAATGGTAAAATTAACCATCTGTCGTTGTTAACTCGCCTCTTACACCACGAGTTACCAAAAAACAACAACAAAATTAATTACGTATGGATTATCAGGTTTAGTCAGAATAACCTTAATGTTAAAATTTTAGTATTATGTAGTTTTATATATATATTTTATATATATTACAAGGTTATATATATATATATATATATTTATCAGAAAAACGCTCCGGTTATGTACAAAACTTGTGTATTTGGACCTAAAAATTGTACATTTTCAAATAATTGTAAAACGTATATACGGAAAATTTATTATATATGTATATATTTATATATATAAATTCGTATATGTGTTTAACAATTATTTGAAAAGGATTATTTATAGGTTTAAGTACACTAGCATTGTACATAAGCGTAGCGTTTGTCTGATAAATTGTAGAAGAGAAGAAGGGGCGTATTATTCAATTTGACAATCTCTCATACATACCTACTTCATTTGAATTTGTTATACGTATTTATAAAAAATTGAAACATCACAAAAATTGAGAGCTCGCGTTCGCCCCAGTTATTTATTGTCCATATAACTAATAAATGTTTTTAATATGATCTGAAAAATGGCAACGTCGCTTATTCGATAGGTATTTAATTTTTGACAGTCTGGAGTGGTTGTCATTCACAACAAGAATTTTGTAAACAAAAGTTGTTAATTTGCAAACAATATTAGCGCGGTTTAATTCTTATAAACTAATAAAATGAAAATCGCGGTTGAAGGATGTGCTCATGGCGAGTTGGAGAAAATATATGAAACAATACTTGATATAGAAAAAGCAGAAAACATAAAAATTGATGTACTGCTATGTTGTGGAGATTTTCAGGCAACTCGTAATTTGGAGGATATGCAAACAATGGCTGTTCCTGATAAATATAAGGATATGTGTACATTTTATAAGTAAAATTTACTAAAGTTATAAAACGTGATGTTTATTATAAAACAACTGTTTCTTTAAATAGGTATTACAGTGGAGAACGTGTTGCGCCAATATTAACAATATTTATTGGTGGAAATCATGAGGCGTCAAATCATTTACAAGAGCTGCCCTACGGAGGTTGGGTGGCACCAAATATTTATTACTTAGGATATGCTGGTGTTGTACGTTTAAATGGCATACGTATAGGCGGTATTTCAGGAATTTATAAAAGTCACGATTATTTACGTGGCAGATTTGAGTATTGTCCTTACTCTGAATCAACAAAAAAAAGTGTTTATCATGTACGCCAACTAGAAGTGTTTCGTTTAAATCAACTAAGTAATGATATGGATATATTTATTTCACATGATTGGCCTCAAGGAATTTACAATTATGGTAATAAAGCTCAACTTTTACGTTTTAAACCATTCTTAAGAGAAGATATGGAAAACGACAGATTAGGAAGCAAGCCTTGTGAAGAACTATTAAAAAAGCTGCAACCAAATTATTGGTTTTCTGCGCATTTGCATTGCAAATTTGCTGCTCTTGTAGATCATCGCGAACAGGATGATATGGACAATATGGAAGAAGAACGTATAACAAAGTTTTTGGCTTTAGATAAATGTTTACCTAAGAGACGTTTTTTGCAAGTGCTAGATATAGAATCTGAACACACAGATGGAGAAATATCTTTTGAATATGATTTGGAATGGCTTACAATACTTTACTTGACAAATCACTTAATAAATATAAAAAGTCAATACTATTATTTACCAGGTCGTGGCAGTGCCGCTGAAGAAAAACACATGTTTACACCTAATGAAGAAGAATTACAGCATATTCGTGAAAAATTACACTGTGATTTACGTATTCCAAAAAATTTTGTTCGTACTGTGGAACCGTACGATCCAATGAATGTTAGTGAAATGCCTGTAATACAACCAAAATCATTTATTAATCCGCAAACTACACAATTCTGTGATTTATTGGGTATAGACGATCCATTAAGTTTAGCGATGATGTTAAGTGGACATGAACTAAGTTACTCAAGTGCATATGATACGAGCAGTGATATACAACTTAATGAATCTAGTCTTTTAATCGATGGTCACAGTTTAAATTCTTCTAGTTGTGCGGATTCAAGTATGTCGCAGATGAGTCCACTAAAACGTAAAAGCAGTTTGAGTTTAAATCTACCAATGCCAAAAACAAATAATTTAAATATTATTGACCTTAATAAATCACTTAATCCGGATGAGTTAAATTTGGACCTAAATTCTGATGATGACAGTCAAATGGAAGATGTCCAACAAAGTACACACAATTCAGAAACTGCAGATAAAACAGAATTATCAAATAAAACAGATACTGTGCATAAGTTAACAAATTTGGAAGAAGTTAATCTGGAAAGAGATACTGCTGATGAGAGGATTAATGAAGATATAAAAGGAAATAATTTAGATAATTCATCAGCGAAAATAATGAAGACTGATATTCTAAATTTAAAACAAGCAGACAATGAAGATGAAATAAAAACATTATCAGAGGATATTAGTTTGGAAAAAACAACCCACAGTGAAGTTGGATATCACAAAACGAAACAAAACGATTTAGGCGTTTTACCTGTAAAGAAGTTTAAAAGACGGAACATGAATTTATACAAAGCAGATAGTGAAGAGGAAAGTTAATAAATAGTGTTATGCAATATAACGTACGCTGTTGTATGTGTTGTGTATAAATATTATCAACTTTATATTTTAATAAAAAAAAAAGTTAAAATAACTTTTGTATGACTAACCATTTTTTTTTTTTTTTTAAATCACATATCAGAGATAATTTTATTCTTTTCAAAATACATTCTTCATTTTTTATAGATTCGCAGAATTTGTATTATTTTTGATCTAATCTTGATTTAGATGCACTCAAATTGGCGATATCATTAATACTTATTTGTAGACCTATAGACCATTATGTTACCTATGGAAATTATGTAGGTAGTATCTATGAATAGAATTGAATTTAATTTCTTGACTTATGTCTCTTATACTCGTATGAAGAATCCTTCAACATCTAAAAGTGCAACAACAATTATTTTTTGTTTAAATTAAAATCGAAATTTGAAACTATAAAACAATTATAATTACAAACGTATGAAAAAACCTTAAATCTGAAAATAAATTTAATACAATATTCTAACAAGAATGCAATTTAATTGAAAATAATTTATTTCATTAACTTTTTCTAAATAAATAATTTATGCAATAAATTATTATTATTATTATTATTAATAGAACACTTAAAATGGATTAAACATAAAATACTTAAATATAAATGTAGTCATTGTGTACAGTAATTGGTACTTTTAGCTACAGCCTCATCTACTTCAACAGTATCACAGTAATAGCTTAAGGGTTCTGCAATTCTTTCTAAACGTATTAGTGACAAGTCTGAAACAGTTTGTTGTTTAGCGTGATAGAATTGGCACCTTCGCGTACCATAGTTTGGTATATCAGCATCGTATGGTGGACTAAGTATATCAAAGAAAGCAGCAATACCACCTACAGCTGTAATTTCATGAAAGTTTCTTTCATAGGGTGTCAATATTGCACAAGAAGTATTTGGTGATACTATGGTTGGCTCCTCTGCCACAGCATATACATCTCGTCCGGAATGATCGTATACAAATGGTACATCAGTTGGTATATGTTGCGTATAACTTTTAACGGACAGCTTTCCATGAATTCCTCGCAATAAACCATACATCATCGGATGATCGTGCAATGGCATTGTATAACCAGGACGCATTACAAAAACACTCATAGACATAACATCGTTCTCAAAAATATGTATAAACTTGCATGGTGCATGTCCAGGTCGAAATGCAGAATCACTAAATAGCTCCTGATGATTTAAATTGAGATCACGATATGTTAATTGCTCCGCAAGTTGCTTAAGTATAGCGAAATTACTGTTAAAAGTATTTTGGTTCGTTTTATCCAAATTTTTAAATGTCAGCAATGTATGCTTCATAATATTAACAAATAATGAAGACATTGTAAAAAGTTTTTAATGATATCACTTATATCAATCACTATCCATCGATCATTGAAGACCGGCGATTGTGCTGAAAGCTATCTTTGCAAAAAAATGGAAAATTTATCAGATGTTGTATTGACTATTCAAAATGTTTTATTAGAAGCCGTTCACAATAGCGTTTTGAAGCAATATAATTTAGGTGACCAGATCATTTTGTAACAAAAGGACTTTTTTAAAATTTGCCACAGAGTGGCAACATTTTATTACACTACGTTATATGGTGATAGGCTCATTCTACATTTGAGTAAAATTAATGATTTATTATAAATTATTGTAAATTAGTTTTTATAACAAATTTCGCACAGTTCACTGCATTTAATATGTTGAAATTTTATATAGGGTCTAATGCTGTTGAAATCAATACTTGCACATATGTTTCTTTTGTTATATTTTGATATTTTTAGTTTTAGATTCATTTGGCCATTTCATTCTTAATATCTAAACATTTAACAGCAGAAGTAGGAATTTTATAACGAATTTTTGTGTATTTTAAAGTAAATAAATCTGTTATAGCCATTTAAGAATAACTTTTGAATTAAATAATTGAGGAAGCAAAAATGTGATGAGAAATAAAACATTAATATTCAGCAAACTAGAAAATACAGCAGTATATTATACAAATCTTAGCATTCGGACAATTTGAGAAGTCATAAAAAAATTCGCTTATATAGAAACAGTTCGGGAGCTAAAAAAATAAAAACAAGTGTTAATGAGGTAGGTATGGCAGGTAGGTATTGATGGTATATATAATAAAGTATTATTTCATGAATCGCTCATATAATTATGTGTACTATTTTACAGATGATTGTGAGAAATAATGAGAAAAGTGATAAGTTCAAAACATAACACAAACGTAACAACATAATAACATAAAGAAACTAACAGCAGTGACAGAAAAATCAATAAAGATGTTAGCATCGCTGACAAACACACCGTCTACTCCCGTAAATGCCTATTTTCCAACTTTTGGGTACAAAAATTAAACAATTGAAATTAGAAGAAAGCTTCGATGAACTATAACTAATGATATTGAGCGGACATCAATAAAATAAAGCAGGAGGAGAGAAATATTTTACACTTAAATTCCCGTAGAAACGAACCGGATTCGCCAATCACTTCCTCACCAATAGTAAGGAATCAGTTTTCATAATTCATAAAGCAAAGAAATGATTTTCATTAAAGAATCATCTTCGTGGACTCAAATGTTACATATGATACAGCATCAGCAGTAGAAAGTTTTAATTTTGAGATGCCATATACTTCATAAAACATACGGAGTGACCGAACAATAACTTTATCGACTGGAATAATGCCATCGCCACCAAACGTTGAATCTTTTGAATGATCTTTCGCAACTAATATATTAGATATGACACTTGAAGATATTTATATATTTTAAAGAGGAATATTTTGAAGAGGAGTGAATAAAATTGGTGTTTTTGGTGAATAATTTCAGACAAATGTAGAATCCACTTAATTTTTTCATTTTTTTTCTATTTATACTAAACTATTGTAGAAAATTAAACTATATTTTTAATTCAAAATATGACTTCTATCATAAATAATTTTATTTTATTATATTTTTTATTACAAACATGTATATAATAATATTCATAATATTGTTACTGCTACTGTAAGTGATTAAGTGTAAGCATTTTCTTCGAAACAATTTCACTAATTATAAATATTGCCTTCATTCTTTAAATAAGTAGCGAACTCTTCTCGATTAGATGTCGCATTTTTTTATATCGCCACAACATTCAGAAGAAGGATCCTCCTTTACTCTCTGGTGTATGTAAGTACTTTTGCACCAAATGCTATTGTCGATTAAAAAGTTGTGAAGTACACAACAGCACAGAACGAATGCTTTTGATTTCATCCAAAATAATTGTTTATGAAATATGCGGAACCTCTTCGACAATATTCCAAAAGCGCGTTCAACATTTTGTCTTCCTCTACTTATATGATTATTAAAATGTACATTTTTGAAATCGATGTAAGAGTACTGGGAGGGAATCATCAGATTTTTCAGCAACGGGAAATCATTATCTGCTAAAATAACATAAGGCAATTTTCTATTATAACTTAAATTCGTGGTGCTGAAAAAGTCCCATCTGCTTTGTCTACGATTCGACTAAGAACGGATCGTGAAAACACATTTACGTTATCACTTTTGAGTCCATTGAATCCAACATCAACAAAGAAAACTTAAGCGTTAGCATTTGACAGAGTCAAGTAAGCGATGCTTATAAATCCTTTAAATTCATATAAAGGATTTACAAATTTGTCCTCAGTATCAAGGCTATGAGCTTTCCATCTAGCACGCCCTAGCAGTTTAAATGCGTTAGATGTGCTTTACAAAGATAGGAGAGTTTGTGTTGCAGAATTGACAGAGGATATCAATTGAGAATGTATTGATTGGAGGATGTATTAGATGCAGTGTTAAGTAGATGATCATGATTAAGCTAAGAGTGCCCTAAGCGAAAACTGTTGGATGTAGACAACTCACCGCGGTGAAATACAAGGTCTTGTTTGAGTTTACGGTATTCATAAATGGAGTTGATAAGCGTGTTAATATTGCGAAAATTGATGGAGACATAATTCAAAAACTTTATTCCATGCTCTCTGAATACTCTAAACATTGTTTAATTCGTATTGTAAGGATTAATCCATTCGAATAGAATGCACATCTAGCATAAGTAAAGACCGCTTTAATTGAAATATACACACATTCTGAAAAAAGTTTCATATGTTAGATATCCTATAATAAACAAAGATTACCGACAATAGTCTAGGATCAGCTAATAAATAATTACGATTTTGGAATAAACCACCGTCTTTAAAATAACTTTAAAAAATAAAAAAATTATTCTATATTAAAAATATTTCAAATTTAATTAATCGGTATTATAAATAATGTGTTATAATATGTATTACAAATGGTCGCTGGAATTCTTAGAATTATAGTTCGTTTGCCGAAATTCAATAAAAGTTCTAATGTGTACAAATAACGAAATATGTGACTATGTATTTAAATAATATTTGCTGATATTATGTTTTCTTTTACACATAAATTATACAATAATAAAATAAATTTTTTAATATTACAAAATATAATTCTTTTATATTTAATAAGTTCTCAGCACGCTTTCTGCGCACCGCATCGCTAAAGTGATTTCTGCTAATTATAACAGTTTTTAAATACATATACAAGAAAAAAAAATATATTAGTAAAGCGCCTACATGTTATCTACCCAAATTGAAGTTACATATTTACCCCCAAATTGAAATGTTTCAAAATATTGAATTGAATTGAATTATTAAAACAGCAGACATTAATGCGAAATATAGCGGGTCATGCAATTCGTGATAATTTTTTCATAAAATCCAATTTACTTATAAAATTGATCCATTCTTTGTTTCCTTTCTGGGTTTTTCTATGATATTAAGAGCCAAATTTAAATGAAGTTGGTACGGTTTGTTGTGTAAATGCAAAGCCACCACGTTTTTCTATTAATTTTGATTCTCTTGCCGCTTTCCTTTGTTCGGCTGTTAAAATAATTTCTTGTAGAGCTTTTGTTTGTTCAGACGTTAAGCCAGCTGTTAGTGTCGCATACCAGGACTGATCTTGTGTAGAAAGAGCTGCAATAAATTTATAAAAATTAGTATTTACATTCTTTTATTATTTTCTCTTAATAATATATACCTGTAATGACTTCTTTAAATATAAAATATTCATCAACAATTTTCTCTTCATCTTCATCATCCAAAGGTGTAGTAAAACCTTCTAAAGCAGTTTCATTTAAATCATCAACTGATTCTTCTTCTTCATCATCAGACTCATCTTTAATTTCGGATTTCATATCAAAACCAGCTTCTGCTGCTTTCGTTTTTGTAAAATCACCCAACTGCTCTAAATAGTCCGGCGTAAACTCATCAAGTTCGTCTTCATCACTTGATAAGGCTTCTAAAATTGTTAATTAAAAATAATATGTATTAAATAAATTAAATAAAATAAATTATTTTTCAATTTAATGTAGGATAGATAGATACATACTAGATTAAATTTAGTGGAAATTATATTTGTTATTAAAAAATATTTGAACATCGAACTGCTTAAGGAGTTCGAGTATATGTGAATTCGAACATTTATTCGAATGTAGTATTCGAATGCAATACTTCTAATGTGCAAACATTCGAATCGAACACTCCACATTTCAAAGAATCAGTCGAAAAAACTTCAAACGTTTGAATAATCGAATCGAATACTTCAAATCTTCGAAAATGCTTGAGCTGCTTAATAACTCTCGAGCTACTAAAATGGCAAATCTAATTCTAGTGTTAATTCATTTTCGTTTTGTTTTATAACAAAACAGAATAGCAGAAGCTTGAGTAACGTTTAATAATTATTCAAACGCAACTATTTAATAATTTAGTGTTAAGGATTTTCTTTAAGTCTATAACTCTGTGAAAAATGTTTATATATATAAATATAAAAATGAAAAAATAATTATTAAATCGAACTTGCTTAAAATTTTAAACAGCTCAAATAATATTTAAAATAATATCATATCACTTCCGATAGATATGTGTTATTGTTATTAGACTGACATTAGCATACATACTTATATCATGGAGAACAGTAAATGCCTTTTTTCCAAAATAAGAAAGGTCAAATTTCTGATATTAAAAAAACGATTTTAAATTGGACTTTCCTATAATATGGATATAAATAAAATACTAAACAGGAATATCATAAGAGTACGCAGATGATGTGGTACTGCTGAGACATAGAAAATATGATAAAACTCATTATCCCTCTAAAGAGTTTTATCTCTGAAGAGTGATATAACAATAAGGCCGCAGTTAGTTAAAGAAGCAAGATTTTACAATTAATTATATATTATCAAGAAAGTAAATCTGATATGGAAGTTTGTAAAGAGTAGAAGTCATGACAATGAAATTAATTTTAAAATGATAACTTCGCTAGAATTAACCAAGAATTTAGTTCCCACACACTACAACCAGAAAAGTACATACAAACAATATTATATAAATTTCATTACTTATTTCATATTCATGTTAAATAATTATTATGTTTACTACATTCTTACTAACCTTGATAGATTTTATTTTTGAAACGAGTATCGTAAAGTATTAAAGATAATAAAATTTTGAATTAAATCACAGAAATGTGCATATTTAGAAAATAATTATATAATATATGTGTTATTTAAAATATGTATATAAAAAAAATATGTATAACTAATTTATACCTTCACAGTCATCATTATCTTCTTCGTCTTCTTCTTCTTCCTCTTCTTGTGCTCGCGACTCATAAGCACGTTTTAGTCCGTCAAATAAGAGTATTAGCGCAGGAATAATTTGACTTGAGACTTCGCTGAGAACTTGAGGTTTAGAGTCACCCAAAGAAATGAGTGTACATAAACCTAAAACGCATATTTTTCTATCGTGAATACTAAGCGGAAGAGAAGAAAAAATAATATTATTTGATTGTTATACATTGTAATTGTGTTGTAGTTACATACCCAAGGAAACAATCAGTATCATGTAACCATTGCTTTACAAAATGAGCACTGATAGGTTCATTACTTGGCTGCGACATCTTGTCTAAAACAGACAACAGCAGTTGAGGGTTATAGTATAAAGCAGCAATAACAACCTGAATAAGATATGGTATATTTTAATATTAAATTGAATTAAATATTTATAATTTATTGTAATAATACAAACATTTTTTTATTTTTTATTTTTGTTTTTGAAACGGACTAATTGGTCGGTTTAATTTTTTTTAATAATTTAAATAACCGCTTTAAAAAAAAAATAACTAATTAAATATTTATATTCACCTGTAAGCACATGGTTCGCAACTCGGATGATTGAACTTCTCGTATTAAACGTGACAATGCTAATTCGACAAACATTGGAATTACGGAATCAATTTGGCCTTTGCACTGTAAAATTATAACTTCCAGTAATTTGGCTGCGTGACATTCTGGATCTTCTCCTGGACTTGTTGTTAACATCTGTTTGTAAAGTTTTAATTTAATAATAACAATTAATAACAACAAAAAAAAATAAAAAAAATACTTACAGTTTTGGCCATATCGAACATAGCTAATAATCTATTTGGATTTGAAAGAAAAGCTGGAGTATCCACTGTCACATAGTTATGTAACGTTGGCATCAGATCAATAAAATAGTCCATGCCATCCTTTTTAAATACTTGATAAATGAGTTCTAACATTTGCCACATTTCTGGTGAAATTGATTTAGCTGTTAAATCATAAACCAACGAAAACGTTTCTTCATAGAAATCTATTGAAAGTTACATAAAAGATAAAATTAATAAATAAATATAAATTAATTACTTTATAGTTTTTGTTGCATTTAGTACCTGTAATATTGTGATGAAATATGTGACCAATAACATTGATGACAATAGGATGTAAATTTGCCATGACTTCTGGTTGATTTTCCATGACATTCAAAAGTGTTTCAATAGTGTTTAACAGTCCCATGGCAGTAATAGCTTTGTCATCTGAACCTTCCTCAGACTCGAGTACTTGACTGAATGTGGTCGCTAAATGTTGACATATTTCCATAGCTACTGGTACCAGTTGTGATGTAAACGTACACACAATTTTTTGTAACACATTTGTGAGATCTTCATTTTCAGTTTCACGTATAATAGTTAATAATTCTTTAGTAATTTCTTTAATTTGCCCTTCCACGTATTGTGCACCTTCTTCTTGTGTTGAAAGGAACATTTGTAATGCTATAGCTGCTTCCACTTTAACAGGTAACTCTTTATCAGTGAGCAATGCGTTTGTTGTCAGACGCATAATTTCTGCAAGCACCTGTGGATTTTTAACTTGTATATCGCAGAAATAATGTAATACCCAACAGGCACGTGCACGCATATGTCCAGTAGAGTTTTGGAATTCAGGAAAAACATAAGTGGTTAACATTGTTTCTACTTGATCGCGATAAACGTCTTTTTTTAAAAGGACATCTGCAAGTGTGCCAATCATATGCAAAGCACCATCTTTTTGTTTGTCATCTGCATTGGGTGATGTAATGACCTGGTCGCAATACAAGACAATATAAATTAATATAATTATACTGTTTCACAAATAAATGCGTTTAAGCTTCGGAAAGTATTAGTTAGACAGGTTAGACACGACGCATATTGTGTACCTCTAATGAACAGGATTTGATGCATTGTTAGTACCATTCCTAAGCGCTTCAACAACAACAATAACAAGCTTTATGCTTTGCTTACTATATTTTTATACCTGAAAACTCTTTGTTTTTTTAAAAGAACATGTTTTTATGATTCTATACATTATATGACAAAATAACAAATGGCTTTGGCAAGTGCTATGAGCAAATATTTTAATTTTATAAACAATAAATAATATATAAGTGCCAGGATAAATGCAACAAGTTTAATTGCATTTCCAATCTTAAACAAAATTTCTTGAATAATTTATCCGCTTCTCGGATAAATTCCCCAAGATATCAATGTTTATATGAATACATTTATCCGTGAATGGTTATATATTGTAATTATTGAAATAAAATGTCTTCATGATTAAAATTATAACAAAAAGAGTTTAAAAATGAAATATACAAATCATTGTAATTAAATGTTTTTGTGAATTATAATTTTTGCACTTTTACGATTAAATAAAATTAAACAATAATTCTTAGATTTTAGCTCTAGATGGTTAAATAGAAAAAGTGAAGAGTTTATGCATTTAGCATATATAGATTATTTGAACTAAAACTTTTTTTTTTTTTTAATAATTTTTAGCACTTTTTTGATTAATTAGAATTAAATAATAATTCTTATATTGAAAAGAGTTAAGACCTAGATGGTTAAACAAAAAAAAAATCATAAACTAATAAATGAATATATAGATGATACCAAATAAAATATTTTTCATTAATAATCTTTATCAATTTTTCGATTAATAATTTTTACGAATATTTCGTATAATTAAAATTAAACAATTCTTATATTACATATAATAGTTTGGACATAGATGGCTTATTAGAAAAAAATGAAAAACTAATAAATTAATATTAAAGACTAAAAATTTTTACCCTTTTTTTTTTAAATAATTCAAATAAAGCAATAATTCTTATACTGAAAAAGAGCTAAGATATAGATTGTTAAGTAAGAAAAGTGGAGAACTAATAAATGAATATATAGACCATTTCAAAATTTTTAGTATACTTAAAAAAAAAAAACTCTTATATTACCAACCATTAAGGTACAGATGGCTTATTAAAAATAGTAAAGAACTAATAAATATGGATGATGGATGACTTCAGTTAAAACCTTTTTTGATTAATAGTTTTAATCAGATTTTCATATCAAAATAAAATAGAAATTAAAAAAAATGAAGAACTAATAAATGAACATATAGATGATTGCAAATAAAAACTATTTCGATTAATCATTTTAGCCAATTTTTCGAATCATTAAAATAAAATAATAATTATTATATATTTGAAAGCGTAAAGCCATAGATAACTGAATAACTAAATAAGAAAACTGAAGAATTAATAAATTAATATATGGATAATTGCAACTGAAAAATGTTTTGATTTAAACAGTTTTACAAATTATTAAAATATAATAATTAATATATTAGAAACAGATCAGCCCTGTATGGCTTAATAAAAGAATTGAAGAATATTACGCCAACTGAGTAGAATTCTCGAAGGGGTTTAATAACATTATTACACTTTAACATTTTCATTAACAGGAATCGATCTCTGACTGTAGTATTCTAGTATAGTATATACGAATAATACAACTTGAATAATTTTAAGTAAAATATCACTGTTGTTGGTTATGACATGAGATTTGAATTTGCAATCAACAAATGATAATTGTAAGAAATTTTTTTTATAAAGATTTCTTACTATTTGTTAGTTATTATTAATTTTAAGGCATAGAAGCATAAGCGAATTGCAGGTTTTCGTTTCTATATATATAAATACATATATATAAATAAAAGTATTCTTTGAACCATCATTATATTCATTATTAGAACAAAAATATATTAGATATTATATTAAATGATATTAAATGTACTTTCAAATATTGAATTGAGCTGTATGGATATATTCTTTCTGAAATATTGAGGGTTTTTAAATTGACAAATTTGGTTAACTTTTCTTTGATATCGTCTTTATCTTGATCATCATCTCATACATCTCTGAACCATCTCATACAATTTTCACTATTCTGAATTTATGTAATTTAGTTAATAATATTTGAAACTTGAATACAACTTTAGTTTTCTTGTCCCAGCAATAATTTAGTACTTTATGGTATGAAGTTGTTAATATTAATTTGAAAGTGTTAACTAGCAAAGCGAATAGCGGCAAGAGCGCCTTAGTTTTGTTTTTTGAAAATTCGTGTTAAGTACATTCAATTATATTGAATAATTTTGTTATTTATTATAAATATGACCTATAATTTGTACTCAGTATAGAACCTCAGTCTCGTATTCACCTGCATGATTATATTCATTGCTTTTGGTAACATTCCTTTTCTCTTTTTACAACAGGAATGTAAAAGAGTTTGTGCAGCTGGTACTGGTGTAGCATAATCTTCAAAAATATCTACAAAAATTATATTGCAATAGTTAAATATATAAACATATAACATACTTTATTTACATTGATAAGTTTCTAACATACCAAATTTTAAGCGTATATAATCGTGTGGATCGGCATCCCAAAGTTCTTGATCTGATTCAGTGAAAGACATTATTGGAAACACGACGTCTTGAATAATTGCAACCATATGTGGTTTAATTAATTTCCAAGAATAGGCATGGCTTACACTAAAATTAATAAAAATCAAAGCTACATTCTTCAAATATTCTTCAAGTATTTGTTTTATGTCACTTACGCATTTTTCAAATAAGCCAAAATATCGGTAAGTACACGTGGAGAAATATATATGCGATTGCGGTACTGATCCAAAATTTTTAACAAAACTTCCAGTACACCAGTGGTAAATGTCGGTAAATACCATTCCGCAAATTGTTGATATTTCGTACTGACAACATTTCGCGGACTGCCATAACTATTGTGATAAAATTTATTTAGTAATTATATTTTAATATTTACATTATAGCACAAGTTATTTACCGTTCGAACATTCGCACCATAATATGTAAAGCCCATTTTTTTGTTTTCCACCAAGGGAATTCGGGTTTCTCATCGTCTTCTAAATGAGAACAATCGGGTATAGGACGTTCAGCAACTTGCCGACAAATCTCCATCCATTGTGAAAATGTTTCTTTCGTTATTAATTCTAACGGTAGGCTGTATTGTGTAAGGGCGTAGTATATTTTTAAAATTTGCTTTTGTAAAAGCACTGATTGTTCAGACGGATCGTTCATGATTTTAATCATTAACTGATAAATCATTGGTAATAATAGATTCATTGCTTCGTTAAGTGGACCTCGTTCCTCAGAACGTTTATATTCATATGTTTTTACTAATTGATACATAACTAAAAGACCACCATTCCAGCCATTAACGTCTACATATATCAAAATTAATATAATATTGATTATTTGATATTAAAACTTTAGATCTTCCTATATGAGAAGTAACAAACCTGAGTTTTGCAGACATATACTAATGTTATCAACAACTTGTGGCCATCTTCCTGGAAAATCGTTTTTTATTATATGATTTATGCAGACTGCTAATTGTATTCTGAAAGTTTATAAGTTGAAGTAATTTTAAAGCTTTAGTTATTTGTATTGGAAACTGACTTTATTAAATCTGGTGAATGTATAATTGCATCAACTATGGATCCCCGTATCATAGCACGGTCCTGTTCATGTATTGAGAATGGTATGGGTTCGCCGGGTTTGACTTCATGATCAGTCCAATTACTAGTGACAAGATTCTTAAGATATACTGCACCAGCTTGACGAACGGGTTGATCAATTCCATTTTGCATAACAATTTGTAGAATTGTGGGCACAAATCCAATTATTTTATGTATCTATATAAAAAATTATTACATATTACATATTATGCATTGAATTATATTATAGTAATAGCCGAGTCAATAACTACTCAGCGCATTGACGTAATCGTAAGTTAAAATATTTCAATAAGATTTGCACTGAAATTTTGTTAAATGAGTTATTTCATTTTTGAAGCTTCAGATATAAAAAGTTTAATAAATTTGAAACTTGGTTTTTCCAAATAATTAGCATGTTTTATAAATAGCAAATAATAGCTTCTTGTTGTCATTGTACCCCATGTTGGAGAACGATTAGCAGTACTTGGTTGTCTTAGAAATTAGTGGACTGAAATATAAGCCTACATAGTAATCTAAGTGTAATACTACAGCTTATTGAGGAAGATGGGCTCTTACTCTATGTAGGAGACACAATAGATCTCTAGCTCGCACAGTAAAGACCCCAAACATAATAATAACATTATAGACCTGACCACATCTACAGTTTATCACCGTATTTACTTATTACTTTAAATTAAAATTTTAAATCAAATATTTCATTTGAGCTCTTTTAAAACAATGATAGGAAAGGGACATCCATTCTTATTTTTAATACTGTTTTGTCAATATTATTTCGAGTTTACGGTGTTATGACAGTTCATACCATTTCTGGCACACATTTTTATTTTCACAAGATTTCATGCGGAGGCATACTGAGAATTTTGTTGCGTTTCGATTGTAACCTTAAAGAAAATAGTGCTACGGTAGCTATTGTCAATAATCCATCTCACTAATGTTATCTAAATGTGTTGAAGGGTTTCAGAATCGGTCGAATCTACATCCCACAGTCATTTATTTTTGGTTTTAGAGTTTAGATTATAGTGAAACAAAAGAAACAACGACATAAGAAATATGTTATTCAATAAGATTTACCACCATATTTTCTTATTGTTTAGAGTTAAGTTTCTTAAAGTAAATGATAAAATGTAATTTATGTTCGTCTATTCTTCCACTACTATTTTAAATTGTTATATAAAATCCATTCATCATCATCAACGTTAAAGCTCGGGGTAAGCTTCCTCATCCCCAACCAGCTTTTCCATTCTGTTTTGCATGTTATTTTAGACCTACATTTTTGGTTATTCATTTTCTGATGCCATCGATCACGTTATCGAGACATTTTATACGTGTCCTACCTCTGTTGTGATCGTTATATGGCGTGAAATATTCGCTTTTATGGTCTAACATCCAGCATTCTCATAACGTATCCGATCCATCACAAGCGCACAGCATCTTCACTGTTACAAAGCTGTAAAAGCTCTACGTTGACGAAATTCTTCGTAGTTCAGGCGGATAAAATTATAAAATAATAAATAAAATCCATTTAAGATGAGAAATTAATTATAACTTCAATTACTGTTGCGTTTTTACCATTTGTTTTGATTTGAAATTTATTTTACTTTGTATTTTCTCTTATCGGAACTTACACTCATAATTGCAACATTGGGAGTTTTTTGAGGCAGAAGTTTTTAGGTCAATGGACTCAAAAAATTAGTTATGCAAATACGATATAACTAAACCCTACGCGCTTATCAATTAAACTCAAAAATAAGCTAAGTACGATAATCTAAACACAATATAATTTTTTTTTATGAGTTATCATTAGCTGGTGTAATTTACACTGATTACTGCGTTAATCAGTAAATGTTTGGCCTTGATTGGACTTTACTGACATTATGATCCATCATATGTGCACTTTCCTCTTTGATAGCTGGGAGGTTTCTGCAGAGTCCCACCGTTTTCACTGACTAATTTATGTACTCCTCAAAGGCGTCGTGATTATTCGATGACTGAACTAAGATCTGCGTTAAGTAGGGCAGCCTGTCGATTTTCGGGAATAGCGTACTATATATTCATCGACATTGAATAACTGTGACAATAATCAATATCATAGCATAGTTAAATTTAGTTCTCACCAGTCTTTGCATATATTACATTGAATGAAGGGGTATTAAGTTTTTTTTTTAAAATAGTTGCAAACTAGTAATCGTGGTTTGTTTAGATCCTACACATTTTAAAAAATTTTAATATTTGTTATTATAATTATCATATAATAATTTACGAAATTTTTTCTGACATTCTAAGTCATAATTAAGTCTTATACACTAACAATTACTATGCTTCATTGTCAAATTTATTTCAAATTCTATCAAATGTGGTTTGTTCTGTCTATCGTCGGTTGACTAGAGTTCCATATCTTGCTAAGCATGTCCGCTTGGCATGAATTAAAAAAGTACTTAATATGCATATGAAGCGAGCACTTGAATGTAATAGAAATATTTTCATAAAAAGGCAGACAATAAAAACCATTAAAAGATCTATAATACTTTATATGTATGTGTATAAAAATTTAAGTAAATTTTTTTATAATTTTTTTTAAATTGAATAATTGTTTCTATGTGCAAAATTAAACTCTCAAGTCATTAAAAAAAGTTCTAATTTTAAAAATATTTTTATGAATTTTTTTTTTTTTTTGATTGATATTTGGGCAGTGAATCATCATAATAAATTTCACAATCATATTGGATACAGTAATGAAAAACATTGGGTTTTATATTATAAATTAATAAAAGAAAAATTTGTTTGTATTATCTCAAATGGATATATTAAATCAGAAGCATCAATTTAATAATAATTAAAATTAGTTTTCATGATTTACTTATTATTTATAAAAATAATAGAATAAGCTTATAATAATAATAACAATAAAGTAACGCCATAAATAAACTCTCAGTAGAGCAGAGGACTGCGTCCTATTGATTTTTTATAATCCAAGCAAGTTTATAAAATATGCTTTTGGAACGTCGTAAGATTTGTTGTCAAGAAGTTCTTATGATTATGATGGTTAGGCATTCAAGTTTCAGTACCCCTTTTAGAACCAGACAAAGCCGAACAGTAACAAAGAGACGCCTGGAGAGGATCGGCTTTTATCAAACTTTTGGGAGCGATAAAACAAGTGAGTTGTATTTTAGTTCTTCTACTTTAAAGTTTTGAATTGGACGATATATTTCCAGAAAACCGCTCTGTAGTACATATAAATCTTCAAGGTTTCGTTTTGTGAATTATATTATTATAATTGAAAAAAATGCAGTATGATCTCATTGAATATATTTATATACATCGATAATAATTTACTTTTCTAAATACTTTGGTAACGCTTATAAAAGAATCCATATAATATCCAGAATGTATTAAGAGGGATGGAAATCGTAATATAACCACCAACGTAATGGGCCAGTTAAAGTTCTAAGTATATCAGCGCTGATTGGCAGTCGAACAATGTAACCTAACCTACTTAATGGGATGACCAAACCGTTTTCAATTTGTCATATATGGCAACTGTTAAAATTCGCAAGAGTATCACATCTTCCAACAAACTTCTGAAGTATACAGAGATTATGACATCTGAAACATGCAGAGATAAGTATAGACCAGTAAATGGTCTATATAAATGACTAATTTAACTTGTTTAACGGGATGACCACACAGTAGATGAAAATAATTATCATTTATTTAATATTTGATGCATTTATTTGAAATGCATTTAATACGACAAAATTAATATTGCAATTCAGTTAAACTAAATGAATATAATTGAAAAATTAAAGTTTTTTAGACTTCGTTACTCAATTTCAACAAAAACTTGTTATATGTGGAGTCAATACAGTACACTTTATGATTAGTAGGTTTGTAATTAGTCTATGAAATGACAAAAGCAGTTTTAATAGAATTTATGGTGGTCTAGAAGCGCCAATCGCTAGTGGTAACAGGGAACATTTCAACATAACATCAATGACCGATGTTCACGTAGTCGACACAGCGATGTTAACTTACAATTCAGAACTAAGGTAGTACAACAAAACATTAACGAGAACAAAACAGAAGGTTGGAAGAAAAACGCACGGACAATACAAAATTGTGACAGGAAACAGAAGTTATTACGGACGAAAATCTTCAAATCGAAAATTGCGACAAGAAGCGCCAAACCACACGCTTACAAGGCAATCGTCTGCCCGGTATTATGTTATGGTTCCGAAACTTGGACTTTAACGACTGCAGATAAAAATCAAATCAAAACGAAAGGAAGGTGCTGACAAAGATTTATGGTCCCTTCCGCCTGAACCACGAATAACTTCGTTGGCGCACAAACGCAGAGTTACTACACCTTTGTAACGGTGATGATGCTGTAAAGTTATCACTTGAGATCAGCGCTTGAGATGAATCGGACACGTTATGAGAATACCGGATGATAAACTACAAAAGCGAATACTCCATTTCACGTATGATATGGGTCAACAACGTGACCGACAACGTCAAAAAAATGGGTATCCAAAATTGTTGGTCTAAAACAACATGCAAAGCAGAATGGAGAAAGCTGGTCGATGCAGCTAAAGCTCACCCGAGCTGTGATGCTGATGGAGAAGAGCCACTGCATTATTTATTATAACATACACTTGCGTTTTATAGGAAACGGTATCTGATTGTATAATCATATTTCCTAGATAACACTTATAAAGGTTTTTATTTACGATCGAGAAGAGCCAGTTCATTATTTATTATAACATACACTTGGGTTTAATAAAAAGTGGTATCTGATGCTATTATCATATTTCCTATATAACTCTTATAGAGGTTTTTATTTATGATGGAGAAGAGCCATTGCATTATTTCTTATAACACACATTTGGTTTTAATAAAAAGTGGTATCTGATGCTATTATCATAATTTCTAGATAACTCTTATAGAGGTTTTCGTTTAGCTATGGCACTGATTCACATTTGGTATAAATTGATATTTGACCCTAATCAACTTAAGCATTGAGCATCTTAATGGTTTTTTACTGTTGGATGGTTGATGGACATAATATTCCTGGGTTCAAATCTGCATATATCCATTATAATTCAAATAAATATAAAATAAAATATCGTATGCTTTAGTAACTGCTACACTATTTAGCATATAAATAATTATATATAAAATATATGTATATCGATAAATATATTTTTTTGAAATTTATATTTTTTATCTACTTTCGTGCGAAAATTTCAATTTAATTTTTTATCTCGCGGTACATGTAAATTAAAAGAAAAATGTATACATCTTCAGAGATTTGCTGTTCAATATTAGCAATGAATTTTTCTTTTAATTTTTAGTACGTGTGCTAAAAAGTTCTTTAATAAAAATAATATATAGTTTAAAACAATATCTTATTTACTTAAGTGTTTCTCATTCTAAAAAATTGATTTTAAAAATGGTCTACTTTAAATGTAATAATTTATAAACAAAAAAATTTTTTTTGATTCACACTCGCCTTACTGAAAACATGTGTTCAATTGTATAAATACAGAAAGAAGAACAATAATAAAAATTCGGAGAACTGTCATTTGCTCTTTCTTGCCCACGGTACTTCATCAGTATTTTTGCATTGAAAGCAAAAACGAAAAACATGAAGTTGACTTAGGAAGGGGAATGGGAAATATGATACAAAGGATTTAGTTTTTTTTCAATATCATAATTTTATACATTTGGAGTAAATTTATCGTATTTACAAACAAATGAAAAACTTTTTTCAAGATATTTTTGTTCTTTTTTTGTTATTATGGACTTGAAGCGGTTAGCGAAACTAATTGCAATTGCAAATTTTAAAAAGCACATGGCATAGTTGAGTTTTCTATTGGAAGATTCTTTGGTTCGTTCGACGTCACCACTGCAGCTGGCATATCAAATATGGTTAAGGGCGTACCCCTCGATAAGTATATTCCAAAGAATGTGCAATATTTTGAGATAAATTATATTTATTAAGTAATTATAAGTTTTATGTGCATTAAATGTCAATACCTGAGACAATTGATCTTCCGCTGCTTTTCTTTGCTCTGGATTTGGTTCAATTGTTGCGCGCAGCAGTTCAGTTAATTTTTGCATATCCATTTTTAACCCGTTTTTTATACTTTATTTAACACTTATTAATAAATAAAATATTTTAACAACAATAAATGAAAAATGTGGCGGCCACAAAAAAACAACGTGCCAACCCGACCAACAATCAAAAAAACTAAACCATGATGGGATTGTCGGCGAATTTTTTTCACTGACAATTCGCGCGGTTTTTTTTTATGCGGCGAATTAAGTGGATTTCAAGAGTTGATTTTTGTTTGTAATATACCTTTTGAAAACATTGGTGTGTTGTTTTAAGATTTATGAATAAATTATAATGATTATTTCTAAAATAAATTGTTATATTTAATAATCACAACCAATTTAAATAATTCAAATTTTATGTTATACTTGTAAATTATATAACGAGTCTGATACAAAGTATTACATGTTGTCTACATGAATATACATACATATACTATGTATGTATTTATGTATATGTGTATGTATACACATTTGTATATTTTTTGGGAATTTTCCCTCGCAATTGAAGCGATCAGTTAGAAGGGTATGTACATATGTATGTGCATCAATTATTGACCATTATACTTTAGGTTAATCTGACTAGATGTAAGCCAAGCACGGATTTATTGGTCGCTAGCAATACCCAATAGAGTTAAACATTTAGTGCAATATAGACGATGGAACAAAGAGAATGATGCAGATATAGTTTTAGTAATATTAATTTATGTTAGATCGTGATCTTGATGAAGATCATATTTCGGCTCAAGAAGAGTCGAAATATAGAATATAATAAAAAATATTAAACGTTGAATTATTCAATAAAATGGGACCAATAGCCAGATAAAAAAATATATAAAAACCATGTTAAACATTTATTTGAATTTAGTATAGTTTTTTGTGAAACACTTTAGCATTATTTTAAAGATATTTTAAAGACCACTTTTAGACTAAAGTAAAGTGGGATTTGAACATTGGTTTTCTACGCGATAGTTCTAGCACTTGCTATTAAGGGTGATCTTATTTTATTTAAATAACACAAAATTTTAATATTATGTTATCAATGGTGTAGCCAGATTAGGATAAGGGCAGTGGTCTTTTCTTCAGAGCGTGCCCAAAGTAATAGTTTACAATTAAAATAAGGTACATAGGAAAATGCCTCCTAAATATAAGGTGGAGAGTTTTGTATAGCAATAACAAATAATTTGAGAAATCAATAGAGCGAAAGTTTAGAGATTGTTTTAAAGAATTAACGGATTACTTGCTTTTCCGTTTTAATAAAGATATACGTTATAATGAAAAAAAAAACTTTTATGATAAAACTCCTACCAGCGATTCTTAGTATATATAATGAATTTTATTGCCTTTGAAAGGACTATTTTCTGAAAATGCATTCCTTAAACAGCGTTCTAGAAAACTGAAACAGTTGACAGAAATGCGAGCACAAATGGAATAATGAGTTATTAAATTAGAAGGTATACGAAATAAAAGAACAGGAGATGAATGATGACTTTAGACTAAAGTCGAAATATTCGTCAAATAAAAATTATTGTAAAATAAATCATCGTTTCTCTTTCTTTGTTTTTAACAACAGTAAAAAATTTAACCAATTATTCCGCAAAAACACTTTTAAGATCATTTATATTTAAAATCAATAAATATTTAAGAAATGTTCTTTAGTTAAAGACATTCCAGAATGTCACAAGAGCGCAAGACACATAGTAAATGGCATAGCAAAAGAACATGTAGTTCGTAAAAAAATGATCATGTTATGGAATTAATTATATTAATTAATTAATTAGTATTAATCGTAATATTAATCGTTTATCGTAAAAAAAATAAAACGGTTTTAACTGCAGGTGTTCTAAAAATTCTAAGCGCGGTTCTAGTTCAATTCAAAACACTTCAGTTTCCTTTACCTCTTTACAATGCTAAATTACAATGGTAATCAATGAATATATGTGGATAGATATAAATATAAAATGGTGATTCTTTTCCTATACACATTTTCTTACAGAATATTAGTCATGTTTTCAATAATGCAACTATTAGTTTCTTTAAACATAAAAGTGTTCTACAACGGAACAACCTGGTTAATGTGTATACTACAGTGCTTTATTATATGCACTGTGATTATATAAATTACGGATGCTGATCCGATGACAGACATTATTTTAGCCCTGTCATATACCATCCATGTAACATTGTGCTATTAGGTCACTTATTGTTATCTTTATCTTACTATAACATATATTAATAAATTTTACTTTTAATAAACTTTTATGTAATTCTATTTCGCATCGATCCGCTTTATAATATAAAATAAAAACATCCACATTTTTTGATTCTATATCTTTTCCTATTTCTACCCATTCAAAAGGCCATCGGTTACTCAAAAGGTTACACATATTTTGATTCATTTATAACTACTTTCTAGTAAGAAACTGCCTACCCACCCTCATGGCGTATTACAATTGAGCTCAGTTAAATTTATTAGATAAATGTTATAAAGATATAGTAAATTTATTATATATATTATCCTTCAAATTACCTCTATATAGGTATTAGACCTTTAGGCTTGTGACATTGATTATTTAGTGTTCAGTGACTGAAATGTGTTTTTTGTCAGGTTTATTTTAGTGGATTCAAGGTTCAAATGTGATGATTTCTATCTACCAAAAAAATAACAATACTAGAATAATACTAGTATATATATAAAATTTAATAAACAAGGTGAATTCCAAAATAAAAAGGACATTTTAAAAGAAGGATATTTGTAGTTAACCAATAATACTTAATTCTGTTCAAAAAAAGGGATTTTTTTTAACAGATACTTGTTGTATGATATATTCTTCATTATTAGACTATCAAAATTTCATAAAATTAAAACAATATATACATAAAGAATTTATCTTACTGACATACAAATTGAAAACAAATGGCCTTACCAGAAATACCTATTAGCTTAGACTTCATACACAATAAAGTGAGGTGGAACTGTTGCTACTGTAAAAATGTAGAAGTCAGAGTTTTGTTAAACGAAGAAAAGTTCAAATGAATTTTACTAACATTTGCTATTTTATATAACTTTATTACAAAACTATCGTACATATACTGCTGGACCTCAATCAATTGGCGGGACATGCTTTTAAGATACAAATAACCAATAGTTATGAATGCGAGATATATAGACAGCTGGAGAAAAAGAGTTTTAAACATCTTATATACGCTTAAAATGTTGGGGGTATACAATTTTAGAAATTTCAGTCTTTAGAAGGAGACTGTGAATGTTACAAGTACTAGTAACATTCACAAAATGTAGTTGATATCCTACAGCTCTTGGTCTTTCTGATATCGATAAGAACTAAAAGGACTCTATGTGGTTTATTGGAATCCAGATTAAACCGAAAATTGCGATTTTAGTCAAAGTATACATTCAATGAAATATATTAAAGAGAAAAAGGTGTTTAATGTTGTTGTTTAGATCAGTCCTTGATTTCTCTTAATATGAGTAATTTCCCTTATTAAATAGTATGTACTCATGTACATCTCGTTATACTTAAAATAAGTCTTTTACATTAGAAAAGCGAATTAGATTACCTGTTCATATATTTTTCGACACATACTTTTACATATTTATAAGCATTTTTTTTATTGAAATCTAAATAATCTTAATATTGGATATATTGAACCCAAGTACTGCTATACATCCTATTGATTCTAAGCGTCTATCTGATGTCGGTTATAACTAATAGGTCTCTCTGTGGTTTATTGGCATCCAATTTAATTAAATATCGCGATTTTAACCAAAATATACAATCAATGGAACATATTTTAAGAAAAAAAAAGGCATTTAAAAATGTTGTTTAGATCAGTTCTCCAACTTCTCTTTATATGAGTAAGTTTCCTTATAAATAGTATGTATTCAAGTACTACTCGTAATACCTAAAATAAGCCTTTTATATTAAATAAACAAATTAGATTAACATTCGATATATACCTTTCAATATATATATACTTTTACATATTTGTGTAAGCATTTCTATTATCTAAATTTGAATAACCTTCAATCTAAGGTCCGCGATGTACCAAATAGGTTCCAATCGTCTGTTAGAAAACCATTAATGTAATTCACTAACAGTCTGAAAATATTTTCTTATTAATGTTTTTAATTCTTATTTTTTTTGTATTTTACATTCATTTAAGTATTAATTAGATAATTTTGAATATTGCACTTTTTGTGTTAAAAAATAGAACTCGTTTCTCTATCACAAAATACCAGTTTCGAAATATCAAAAATAATACAAAGCATTTTGTTGATATTCTGCTGAAAGAAATTTATTCCGCAGAATTGAGCGTTTATGTTGATAACTGAAATATATATAAGCCACATAAAATAGTAAACTAAATTATATTAAAGTTAGTACTTTAAAAGTGGTTCTTCAGTTAAGAACGAGAACCTCACATATTACGGAAGTTGTCGAGAAAATTTTTAAAATGCGTGCTGTATTATCGTTGTGTTTAACTCTATTCATTAAAATAGCTTTGTGCTCTCACTATGAAGGTTCGTCATAGTCCAATTTTATTGAACATCTAATTAAATTATTAGTTAATAAATAAAATTTCCTGCCTATTGAAGGAAAACTAATATTTAATGTTATTGAGAAAGTGTTTAAGTGTAATTCTGTGTAATAATAAGTATACAATATATATTTGCCAAGTCAAAATCCGTATTCGGTCTATTTAATTATAACGAGTATATTTTAAAACAAAACCTTAACTTTAAAGGTCAAAAACCTAGTAATTACCTACTCTTTTAATAAGTCCTTATAACCATTTATCGGGTTTCGGCATGACGTGGTTAGTGTTAAATTGACAGCTGATTTTGTTACGGGTGCCAAAATTTGTCCATAATCCCAACTGAAAGTCATGGGAATAGGACTTGTTTCTTTATATTAATAGCTCATAGCCCTATGGTTATAGCTAATTATCAAATAGAGCGATTCAATAATAGAGCGCTGTTCAATAACTTAAATTGGGTACCGAAGTTGAATGCGGTCAGAGAGTTTGTCATGTTTATTTGTAATAAAACAGTTCTAAATCTAGCTTTTGGGATAGTGTCTATAAAACATATTAACTGGGTTATCTTTAAAAGTGGGTGTACGGTTTAATGTAATCAATTTACTTTTTGCAATTTATTTTCAACATCATTGATATAAGTGATATTCACATCTATTCGGTAAATCGGTAAAATGATAAAAATTTATGTATATTTGTTTCGATGATATTATACTTTTACCGATTTAACGAATTAACGAGGCATAAGATCTGATCATTTTTCGATAATTTATAATACATAAACTGATTCTTTTTGTTGTGAAGAGTTGTACAAAAATTAAATTTTATTTAAAGTTAAAATAATAAATAAAAACTTTTTTATAGATATAAAAAATGAAATAACAGATCAAGTCAAATTCAAATTTACAAATAATTTAAAAATATTTTTTTTGTCATTTTCTTCTTTTTATATATACAAACAAAACAAACAAAAACGGAATCAGCTGTTCTGGCAGTTTTATTATTAAAAATGGTTGTTAAAATGCTTGTTATTTAATCATTTTATCGAATTTCAATTTACCGAGCCACTTTTAAATTAAAAATAGGTTCCCCGATATTTGTCATTTAATCGCTTTACCGAATACAGAAGTTCTCAAACAACGTCTGAACACTCCTATATATGTTAATTAAAAAATCCAGCTCTCTTCATCTATTTAACTGTGTCTTTAAAGACTTGTTCTGGAGAATATTAAGAAATTAAATTATAGAAGAAAATAAATATTTATATACATGTATATACATATATATCAATATATATATATATATATATATATATATATATTTATTAAAGAAAAGTATATAGGTACATCTAAATAGGAACATTATTTAGATGTGTTTTTTCATGGCAAATCAAGAGAATTAGACGTATCTATATTTTATTATGTAGTTCCGTTGTAAATAGAATGTTCTTAGCACTATATTCCTTTAACCAATTTGTAGTTTTAATATTTTGGAAATCAATTTTTTTACGTTACAAGTTTTAATTTTTGGACATAAATTTTTTTGGGTCATTTGAATTGGATTTGGGAAAAAAAAAAAATAAATAAACACGTAAATTTACAGGAAAATGAGAATAATTCGGGAATATCTCTTCGATTTTATTCTTATTAAGAATTTTGTTGCTAGAAAATTTTTAAATAAAATTATATAAATCAATAAAAATTTTATAAAATAGTAATAATAATAATAAATAAATAACATTTTTTAAATATTTAAAACAAAATACCTTATATTATATATGTTAAAATATTGGTTTATTATTAAAATGTTTTCTTTATAAAGAATTAATTTTAATCTTTTGGACATCAATCCATTTTAAATATATAAAATAATGCCCAATTTATATTGTTTTGAACTTACTTTTTGATTTCTAACATAATCGAAAGTGAGAGAGAGAGAGAGAGAGAGAGAGAGAAGTATTAAGAGTCAAAGCTTTATATACAATTTCATTACAATTTCCTCAGAATTTCACCCTTATTCCTCTTCCATTATTGCTTTTAGTTTTTTAAATGAACTATATATATTTTTTTAAATTTCATATGCTGTTGTACTCGATGTTAAGTTAAGTACCTTTAGGATCCCCTATAGCACTACATATAGATGTCATCATATGATTTGCATAATGCGTGGTAGTTTGATTTTAGTTGATTTCTTAAAATATAAATATGCTTAATCACAGTTGTCAAATCATATAATAGGTCATCGAGATTTATAAAGATGTTTTGGATAGTTTTTTATTCTATTTCATATATATATGTAAAAGGAATTTATAATTAAAAATGGAGCATCTATAGTCTGTTTAATTTATGTTCTAGAACAGGGCTGTCCAAAGTACAGCCCGCGGTTAATATTTGTGCTGCCCGCGACATATTTTTATTCTACTACAATTACACAAATTTTCTTTTGGTATATTGTTAAAACTACATTATTTTACTTTTATGGTATACCAAATAGATGAATTTAAATTGATAAATTAATAAAACTAAATTTAAAATTCTAACCGTTTTTAACAACTATGAACAAATGTATTTGTTTCTGCGGTCCTCCAATCTGTACAGTAACTTGTATTGGCTCGCGATCACATTTGGTCTGGACAGCCCTGTTCTAGACGCAAGCAAACGCTTTTGTTTAAAATATTTTTTCTAAACTATTAACGTTTGGAGTCATAACGTAAAATATATATTTCATTGCCTTAGAAAGGTGCAAGAAGTTAGAAAAAACAAGACCAAGACTACAAACCCTCTTTACTTATGCCTTGTTTTCACTATGTCATTTTAAATGACAATTATAATTGACTGGTGTGTCAAATGCGTTTTCATTCGCATTCTTGTCAATGCGAATATAACATCATATGACTACGCATTTTCATTATACTGACAATATTTGACTTTAAAAATGACATAGTGAAGACGAGGCATTAATATTAAGATGCTTTAAATAATTTTAGAATAAATAGACCTAATATATCGCTTCGATGTACCTAAAACAATTTATACATTATATTAACAGTATATATATTAATATGTTATATTATTCAATTTTTTATAGTAGAAAAATTTTTAATATATAATATTTACAGATGATTATAATGTTGACAGTGCTAAACAATTAAAATCGCCGAAATTTTGGATTGCAGACGGACAAAGAACTCTATACGAAAGGTTGAGAACATATAAAAATGAAAATGTTGCTAAAAATATTATATTCTTTCTTGGGGATGGTATGGGTGTTGCAACTGTGACGGCTAGCCGTATATTTGAAGCACAAATAAGGGGCAAAGTTGGTGAAAGAAATGAACTCTCTTTTGAACGATTTCCACATCTTGCTCTCTCAAAAGTAAGTAAAATGTTAATTAGAAATATAGTTCAGTATTTATGTTATTAACCATTTCACAGACCTATTGTACCGATCAACAAGTGGCGGATTCTGCTTGTAGTGCTACAGCATATCTTACTGGTGTTAAGGCAAATTATAATACAATCGGTGTTACTGCAAATGTGACATTAAATGATTGTGCAGCAGCACGTGATCCGATAAATCAATTAAGTTCCATTGCTCGTTGGGCAGCTGAGAGTGGTAAGGCTACTGGTATAGTAACAACAACACGTGTTACACATGCTAGTCCAGCTGGTACATATGCATATACATCGAATCGAGACTTTGAAAGCGATGCGGATGTTAAAAAAAAAAATTTAGATCCAGCGAAATGTGAAGATATTGCATCACAACTTGTTGGCTATGGTTCCATGAACGTTATATTAGGAGGGGGTTCATCTAAGTTCTTACCAACTTGCGCAAAGGATGGTATGGGTAACTCTGGTGAAAGATTAGATGGTAGGAATTTAATAGCAGAATGGGCCATGAGAAAGTATGGAAATGCAAAAGTTGTTTATAATAGAACAGATCTTCTAAATACGAATACTCAATATACTGACAATTTATTGGGATTGTTTAGCAAAAGTCATTTAGATTATCATTTGGATAACAATAAAAACGAGCCATCCCTTGAAGAAATGACAGAAACGGCGATCAATATATTAAGAAGAAATAAGAACGGTTTCTTCTTATTTGTTGAAGGTGGAAAAATTGATCTTGCACATCATCTTACTATGGCAGCAAAAGCATTAGACGAAACTGTAGAATTTCATAAGGCAATTAAAAAAGCAGAAACATTATTATACTCAGACGATACACTAATTATTGTTACTGCCGATCATAGTCACACCATGACCATAAGCGGTGATTCTAAAATTGATAACGGTATTCTGGCTCCAGCTACACAAAATAGTGATGTTGATAAACAACCTTATACATCACTTTCATATGCAAATGGACCAGTGGCCTCTGACTTTACCGAAGTGAAAGGAAACAAAGTTCAACGTGTTGATATAACTAAATTGAAAAATTTCGGTAATACTGAATTTCAAAATTTGATTATGATTTTTATTATTTTTCATTTACATATAAAGGTAAAGCAAATTTTCAATACCCACATTGTGTTCCGTTATCAGAGGAAAGCCATAGTGGCACCGATGTCGCAATTTATGCGAAAGGTATATTAATATATGAATAATAAATATAGAAATGCTTCTCTAAACATTTTCTTAAAGGTCCATGGTCTCATCTGTTTTCCGGAGTTATGGAACAAAGTGCAATACCAATATTGATGGCATATGCTGCTTGTATTGGACCGGGAATCCATGCATGTTCTTCTTCTGCTTCTTCTTATGCATCGTATGAATAAATATGAAATATTTGTAATTTAAGTATTAGTAACTTTTAAAACATTAATATAATATATAACATATTTAAAGTATATTAAATTTCTATAAAATGTAAAAATATATTTTATTTGAGGGATAAACAAATATGGGTATGGGCCGCTTTATTAGAATAAAGAATGCAGGGAATACATAATACATAACTGCAACCTGAAAGCATGTTTGCCAGGTTGACATCATTCAAGTTCTCACGAATTGAATTTTATATGACACTTAAGTGTTAATATTAGCAATCAGCTGATACAAAAAGAAAAACATAATTTTAGATTTTAAATTAAATCAAGAATCCATATGATTTTTTCATATTTATATTCCTAATTTAAATTTTTGCATTTTTGAAACATTTGTGAAAAAACCCCATTTGAGTCAAGTGTGATTTATACGATATAAAGTTATTCTGTAAAATATTACACAAAGTTATTCAGTTTGTGTAAACTATTTTTAATATAAAATTTGACACTTCATTTACCAAGCAGATAAATTTATATCAGGCATTTATCAGTTTAGATGAATACCCCTAATATGAAATGATATATTAGATATAGGATATGTTTAAGCTATCTTAATTAACGTATTTTACTTACCATCTTACTTTTGAGATTATTTCGATAACCCTGTAAGTTATAGTTATATTAGCTTGTTCGCTAAACTCTGAAACTTTAAGTATAAATACAATCATTTCGTCAGATAATATGAATACTATATATGGTATGGTAAGAGTCAAATCAATATTCTAATATTTTTACTTGTAATAAGTAATTGTAATTGAACTCATATTTTTAAATCGAACAAATTATTATCAACATATACTAGCTCAGTAACGAAAAGTAACTCTGGGACGTTAATCCGGTCGATTCTAAAACATTATCCATACATTTCTTCATACCATTAACATTAGTAAGATTCAATATCGAAAATAACTATCATCTTATAACTATAACTATCAAATAACTATCATAATGTTTCGAATTATCTTACTGAAAAGTAACAACGCTTTCACTATGCTTTCACGTGATAACTTAAGAAATTAAAAACGCATTTCACGACTGTCCTAACATTCTAATTTTGATATAACATTAGCTAAGGAATGTTGAAAAAGGAAGAAAAGTGATTATCTCTTTCTTTCAAATAGAATATTTGATTTAAAGTTTCAATTTAAAGTAATAAGAAAATCTTTTATTTAATTGATTACATTAAGTGCTAAAACTGATATATTTGTATGTCTACAATATGCATGACTGGTGGAGATTCAATAGAAATTGTAAGCATAGTTTTGAAATTTATATGATTTTTAAATGTATTATATTACAAAGACATTATGACCGTGTGCGAGTTCAAGTAAATTGATGGTTAAGTGAGGAAAACAGTAAATTACGTCGGTATATTAGCGAATGTTGGTATTTACCACAATTTCACGTAGGGTAAATTAGATAAAAATTAGGTAAATTAGGTGTTACCATTGTGTAAATTTTATAAGATGTTTAATAAATACATAAATAAATTTGAAAACTTTTAATCAAAAATAATAAATAAGTGCAATAAATAAATAAATAATTAATTTACATAAGTACAGTGCAAAAAATCCATTGGAAATTTCAATTTACTTTACCTTACATTATATATTTGATTTAATTATGGTACAAAATATATATATATATTTTATGCTATATGCTGACGATTAGCATAAATCATCAATTTTATTAAAAGAATTTTATAATTAATGTTTTGAACTATTAATAATTATAGTTTTATATTTATATAAATAATTATAGTTTTATAATTATATAAATAATTTTAGTTTTATAATTATTAAGGTATGTAACTGTAGGACTATTGTTATTACTATTGTTATTATAAAATTACAATATTATAAATTAAATTATAACTAATTTTTTCTGAGTGTATAGAGCAAAACAAAGAGAATAACTGCGCATCATTCCTTTCGTCCAAAGTTAGTATTTTATTTCTGCGTAATTAAATACGCTTAGGTGGCAATATTGTCATATGACATGTAAGTATGGTTATCACTCTCACACTTGATGCTTTAAAAAATTAGTAATCGTGACTGAAAAATTACGTGAGGCTCCAATTTATTAAAAATTAAACAGAATTGTAACAAATACCATAATTTTTTTATATGTAGTAAGCGTTTAAGGATAGAGCACAGAATATGCGTTATGTGTGAAATATTTGCGTATGTTATTTTGAACGGTATTGGTTAAAAAATAGTATTTTAATTTCACTGATAAGAGTGCGGTGCCTTCAACTGAGCGACCGACAACACATTCACCTCGCTGCACTACGCTATATGGCAATTTTCTAAAATTAAAAACAAAATATGGTGAATGTGCTAAAAAGATAGCAAATGATAGACGTTTAGGTTTTAAAACAAAACACATATACATATATGTGTTAAATGTATCCGATATATAATATATTCGTAACAAATATTTTAAGAAAAACAAAAAACGTGTGTAAACACAACTTTGAAAATGTCCCGCTTACAAACGCCAGGGGATAGAAGTATCTCAGCTGAAACTAGAGAATTTGAGGACTTTGATACAAATGAATTTATCACTGAATTCTTTGGTACATCATTGGAACGACAAGTGGCGCAATTAGATGGACCAGCTACAACTGTTACACATCATGTGCACAGCAGGGATCATTATTCTGAAAATGAGGCGCATCGAATTGGAAATATGACAAGAAAGATTAATTCACGTTCTGGTGTATACGATGCGTTTATTGGCAATGCCGAAAATGATCCACCTACTGTGTTTCATACAGCCACAAATACAATAGATCATTCCGATCTGATGCCGTTTCTAAAAGATGTTGGGTTGGGTCCAAAACACATAAGATCACAATCTAATATATCTGCATCACATACGGAAAGTGAATTGCCAGATAATGTGACGATTGACGGTGAAGGACCATTCGAAATTATAGATGTCTTTGATTCAGAAGTTGATGCAAAGGAAACAGATACCATGACCAATGTGCCTACAATATCTACAACAAATAATAATAATTTTATTACAGTAAAATCGTATAGCGATGAAGAGCGTATTGCGATGGCACAAATGGCAACTTTAACGCATCTATTGCATCCTGAAAAGGATGGTTTTGATGGATCCCTGGAATGGAGTGGTGATGAGATAATTGAACATTCACCATACTCAAACACAGGTTCCTCAAAATCTGAACATTTGCTAGAAGTAGAAGCAGTTTCCCCAGAAACTCTTTCAGAATATAATCACAAATCAGATTCAGAACCTGAGATTGAACAAGAACATGAAACAGAGCAAGAACATGAAACTGAACAGGAACATGAACATGAAACGGAACAAGAATTTGATACTAATATGCAATCTTCTTCAAAAATATTTGCAACAACAACAATAACTACATTAAGAGCAGTGCCGGAAGTAACAGAACCAACAAGCTTTACAGATATATCTTTAGTATCTCCTATGAGAAGTTCAGAGACATCTGTAAATGATGAAGATAGTGTTGATCCAATTCAGCTGGATACACAACCAATGGAGGTACCGGAGGATGTACCTGAAGAAGTACCAGAAGAAGTACAAGAAGAGATACCAGAGGAGGTCTCAGAAGAGTACGAAACTGAATTACCAGAAACAAATATGTATAATATAGATGATATAAGTAGTTCTAGTTCGGGAAAATTAATAGTGGATGAAGATAGATGTGAGGAATTTTTAAAAGCAGTAACCATGCATTCTGGTAATTAAGAAAATTATTTTACATTATTTTTAAATGAATTACAAATGGAAATTGTTTTAGTTAATAATTACTTTTTATTTATTATATGTTTAATTTCAGAAAAACGAATTATAAAACCAAAAATAATTTGGGACCCCACTTCTAGTACAATATCAACTCAATCAACTAAATCAAGTCGTTTAAGTTTCTCGAAGGAAACAAAGCAAATATCTAATGTAGCAGAAGATAAAGAAATTAAAGGAAATATTAGTGACCACAAGATACAAGAATTGCAAAAGGAAAACGATCCGCTTTTAGAAATAAATACAAATTCCTCCTCAAAAAGTGATGTGCGTGGTCGAACTGAAGAAGGACAAATAGTAAGTAGAAGAAAGCGAAGATTAATGACCCCGGTTTACAATGGACATAGTCTTATTAAAAGAAGAGCACAGGAAGTGGATCCTTTATTGGATCACGAGTTTAAAGTAAGTAACACAGCTACTGATGAATGTGATCATTTATCAAAATGTAGCAATGAGGAGGAACAAAGTATTTCAATAAACAACATTAAATCGGAAGAACTGTGTAATACAGAGAATAATGCTGAGTCTATAGAAACTGAAAATATTATTATGACAGAAACGAAAAAAGAGAGACATCGTAAACCGCAAAAACGTAGAAAAATTTCAAATTCGGTTAATAATAATTCAGAGTTGGATACGATCGAGGAAAATAATTTGGATAATAAAAATTTAATTAAAATTAGTTCACCCTTATCGGCTTCTGAAGTAGGAAGCAAAGCAAAAGGTGAGTGTGGCGTCGAGAAAGATCAAGATAAAAATAAACAAGAGCAAAATGAATCACAAGTGAATACCAGTGTTGAAGAAGAGTTCATTCAAATAAAAGATGTTACTAATTGTTCAGAGAGCAACACCACAAATGTATTGGAACAGAGTAATATTGCTAATGTAATTAGAACTCAAAATTACAGTGATATTTCTGATGACGATTGCAATATAACAGATGAAAAGAATATAACAGAAAATGCAATTGATCTAAACGTCACACAGAATGATAAGCAATCATCGGAAAATTTAGAAGAAAGTAGTAATGTTTCAGTTAATACAAGTGATCTAGAAAAAGCAGATCAAGATTCGCCAGAGGGTAATCAAACAAAAGATGAGAAACTTCGAGTTTCGGTGAATAAAACACCTGAACCTGTAGATGAGAAATCTGTGGAAATTAGTACAACTAATGACACTGAAGACACATTAGAAATAGAACAAAATCCTCAAATGCCTAGCAAAACTTCGGAAAAGGTGAGTTTTAATTTAGATATATAAATTATATATAATCATTTTGATCTGTTTTAGAATGATTTTAAATCTTCAAATGAATCCGTTCAGACTGTAGAAGTACCTTCCTTAAGGATTAAACGCGGTCCCAAATCAAAAGTAGCATCTAATTGGGAACATGTTTATAAACAAAAAGCCGACGATGATTCTCTGATAGTACGTCGGCGTTCTAATAGTTCTTACTCCAGTACCACTTCAAATAATTTAAGTTTAGATATCTCAGATACGCCGAATGATAATGATATAAATTCGGCCAGTACTACCTCTATATCTGAAAATTCTTTAGTTATAAGTTCTTCACCTGCCACAGCCACCTCAATAAAATCGACTCCTGTAAGTAAAGCAATAACGAAAAATAATAAAACCGCGAAATCGAATATAACAAATGAAACATCAGAAACATCAGAAACCGAGGCACAAACGACAACAAATGTAAAAACAATAAAATCAAATAGAACTAAAAAACGCGTCGTTATCGTGGAACCGGCTCCAAGTACAGATCAAAATTCAGCTGTAAATGAAGATAATTCATTTGAATTTACAAAACCAGAAACAAGAATAAACAAAAAACCTGGTCGTCGAAGAAAGAATGCGGTTCTTACTCCAGAAGTCACACCGACAACAACAGCAACCCCGGCTTTGGCATCTCCAGTTTCGGCAGAAACAACAAAAGTTCGAAAGAAACCAGGACCTAAAAAACGTAAAAATGGAACTAATGTCCCTTTGGCTGATATAAAGAATGTAAAAAGTCCCGCTAAAACAAAAGATGGTGAAAATAATACAAGTGAAGTGAAGCCTGTTGGCTCAAAGGATGCTGCAGCAAAAGAATTGCAAAATGAAACATCGGAAGAAGTGAAAAATTCAGCAGCAAAAAAAGATATAACTAAAGATGGAGTAAAAAATACGCCTAAAGTTTTATCGAAAGAAACGCCTAAAGAAACACCTAAAGCTAAAGTAGATCCACCGGTAACAAAAGTGGATACACCAACTGTAGCAAAGAAGGGAAGAGAAGCAAAACCACCAGTAATACCTCATGATGTCGTTGTAAAAAAATCAAGTAATGTGGCACAAATTATATTTAGTACCCATAAGGCAAGACAACCCCATACGTTTACGCCACAGGTATAGTTACTGTGTATTCCATTAATTAATGCTGTACGCATTGTCTTCAATCAACAATCATAAATGCCTCCCGTTTTATTTTAGATGATGGCTAAGCTGGTAGAAATATTAAAAGAGCTAAGTGTGGATAAACAGTGTAATGTCGTGTTATTGCTTTCAAACGGTCCGAATTTTTGCCATGGAGTAGATTTTACTGACCTGGCACATCCTGTTTTAGAAAAACGCCGTCAAGCGGCGCATGTTTTAGCGAAAGCAACAAAGTAATTTATTTGTTTGCACAGCTAATTTTTGTGCTAACTATATATAATTCCCATTATAGAAATTTAGAATTAATTTAAATAATTATTATTACAGAGATTATTTGTACGCGTTACTCACATTTCCCAAACCAATTATTGCCGGTGTTTGTGGATCTAATGTTGGTTTAGGTGTGACACAACTGCCATTGTTTGATGTTGTTGTTGGCACTGATAAAGCTACTTATGAAACTCCATATGCCAAAATTGGACAGTTACCTGAAGGTTATTGCATTTGGAATAACTTACCCAAAATCAGGGGAACATATGTGAGTATATGAAAATACTTTTATAATTAATTATTTGATATGTATATGTGATTATATAGAAAACCAAATTATTCTGGCTTTGTGATAAACTACACTCTACTGAGTCTGTTATATCGGGTTTGCTTAGTAAATTGTCATCCACAACCAATCTGAATGAAGTTGCTTTAGAAGAAGCTAAGAAAATAGCTGCATTCTCACCAGAGGTAAGAATAATTATGAAATATATTTTTATTATTTTAATTATTTGCTTATGAAACTCATTGAACATTTGTATCCAACATCCAACTTAAAATGATAATATATACATTTTTGATAGTTTACATAGAGTGGGGCAATATAGCTAAATAAACTGGCTTTTTATTTTAGTTTAATAGTTCAACTAAAATAGTTTATAGTAGTTCAAAGATTATTACACTTTTATTATTAATTTTATTCAAATTATAAGTACTATATAGACCTGGTTTGGCTTTTTAACTTTATTTCAAGATATATTGAAATGAAAAACTTCATTATATTACATTATGTACTTCGTATATATATAAATATATATATATTTCTTATTTTGTTAAAAATTTTTGTAATTTTTTTAGTTTTTATTTTAAACAATATATGCATGTGTATATTCTTTAATATTAAATTATTTTATTATTACATTAAACTATTGTTTAAAATAAAAAATTAAATAAATTACAATTATTTTTTATCAAAAGTTTCACATTATTGACCAATTAGCCTGATATAAAAAAATACATACATTTTTTTTTATAAGAACATTTATCTTGCCGATCAATCAGAGTGGACACTGTCTAAACTCACTGTTTAGTTGCAAAATGGTTTAGTTTCAGAAGGAGATTTTTTTGTTTCATATTGGATGAGGAATACCTATTTTTAATATTCACTGAAATAAACATTGTCAAAGAGTCGCATAAAAAAAAAAATTGCTTTAAAAGTATATTTTTTTATTTCATTAAATAACCTTTAGTTGGAACCCTAACAAGTGTTTGAATTTAAACTAGTTTGGAAATAATGGTGGTTCAAAATGTATTTTTTCAAACATTTTTGGGCAATTATGCTTTTGTAGTTTTTTTTTCACACATATCAATTGAAAGCATTATTTTTACAATATATATGATACATATATACATATATATGTTAACTGTGATGAGGACTAACAATAGAATCAGAAATAGGTACTTGTTTTATTTTAAATTATGTCTGTTAATCTTTGATACTTTAATATTCAACATAATAAAGCATTTTATCTGTTTCTTAAATAGATAAAAATATTTTATATTTATAATATGAATTTCTATAAAAATTCATAATTCTAACGGCACATTTATTATTGACTTGTGAAGTTATTCCTGCACCTTCTGCTACGTCTTCATCACTATTACTGATATTATTAATTCTGGGTGCTGATGATGACGAAAAAAAACATGTTTCTCAATACAAGGAATTGTTGTGATAGAGGGGTATTTTGAATAGTAGTAAATTACAAAAACAAAAATTTTTCTTATTTATTAATTAATTAAATTTTTGCCTGACTATACAGCAGTCTTAAGTAATACCAAATCCCCATCAGCAGTGGTTTCTTATATTTAATTATTCGTAAATAAATTTTTGAGACTACATGGGGTCTACTCGGTACAGCTGACCGACCATACAGGCTAAAATTTAATTAATAAATAAATATTAAAAAATTTTCTTGTGATGTACTATTCTCCAAAATACCTCCATACTAAGGCAAATAATCTTATTATTATGAATATGAGTATTATTATTGTTGCTTTGTTTTATTTTTTTTATGTGTATAACATTTAATATGTAATTAACTAAGTTAAATTATTTTTATTTAAAATTTAAAAATTGTTTTAATTTAATTTTAACATTTAAAAATATGTGACAAACAAAAATAAACAGTTTCATCCACAACAAGATTCAAACTTTAGTATTAAACATTTAAGCCTTAGCCACTACCATTACTACTAACTGTCAGATAAATAATATTACTGGCCTTGGCTAGTAATATACTGGACTGGCTGGCCTTGTATATAAATATACAAAGCCAGCATTTTTTTATAAATTTTTTTGTAAATTTTTTTAATTATTTCTTAATTATTTACAATGGATTGATTTATATTACATATATATATTATATTATATTTATATTGGATATATTTATATTAGATTTTTTGGGGGCTATTAGGTCAATTTTTTTTACTAACGTAACATATTGTTTGGTTTTAATTATAAATTTATTTAATTTAATAACACGTTCAATATATCAATCATCTTCAATGATCATTTTCACAAACTTACAAGTTTAATATATATAAAAATACAAGTTAACTAAAACAAACATTAAATTAAAACAATTAATTAAACGGCAATTGTGAACCTATGACAATAATTTAATTGAAAAATAAATAGAATTCTTATATTAAATTCTTATCAAATTTTATATCAATTTTCAATATATGTCTTAAACAGATAGCTTTTTTAATGTGTCTTAAAAGATGATAAAATATGGCAACCCCGTATTAGTTTCAATTGAAGCATAAACCAACAAGAAAACGAAATATTCGGGTGGGTCATTTATTCCCTTTTCTAAACATTCTGCATTGTATTAGTACCTCATATAGTAGCAAAACTTAAGATTTGTTTACACGATATAAGGGACTGTAAAAATACAGATTGTACTGTATAATATATTTAGTTAATATATTAAAGGGATACCTTTTTTAATGTGTCTTAAAAGGTGATAAAATATGGAAACACCGTATTCGTTTTGATTGAAGCATAAACCAACAAGAAAACGAAATATTCGGGTGGGTCATTCATTCCCTTTTCTAAACATTCTGCATTGTATTGGTACCTCATATAGTAGCAAAACTTAAGATTTGTTTACACGATATAAGGGACTGTACTGTATAATATATTAACTAAATTGCATTTAAATTTACAAAATTTGTTTAATTTGTTAAATTAACTATAACGAAAGCCAGCTTTTAATGGAAGTATACAGTCAAATACTCATAATCAGTGATCTTTGAAAAAAATCGTTAGACTACAAGTAACAGGTTGAGAACTTTGAACCTGTCAAATTAGAGATATGACAGTGTATAGGCAAATTTAAAATTTTTTACATATTTTTTAAAAATTTACATATTTTTTCTAATTTTAAAAAGATAACCAAAGCACTTGTGCTTTTTAATTAGAACAAGATAATGAGATCGCTTTTAATTATTAAAATTCTGTACAAGCATTACAATTAATTGTGAAACAAATCTTGAAATTATTATTCTTAGTTACTTGTTTTTGTATTCTTTAGAAGCAATAATTTTCTTCAACACCTTTTTTTTCCATTATTTTAAAGCCAAAAGGTCATATAAATTGATAAAATTACTTTCAGCCCAAGCTATAACGTTATTATAAGCATTAACAGCCTTAGATGAATTAATTATAATTATTTGTAAGTACTTCTGATCTTTGTTTTGGGATTTAGCATTACACTTTTCATATTCGAGTGCTGATTTGCTCAAAATGTTCTCGTTCCACTAAGTTCTTCTGCTTACACAGAATTGGACTGTCAGCTAAATTAGTCAAAGTTTGGTACAATTACATTTAATATAATCCAAAACTCGCTTATCTCCAACTCAGTTTCGTCACAATATGCTTCAAGTCAGATTGAAGCGATGACATCAAACTCTTTCTAATAATCGCAACGGCAAGAGAATTGTGTATATTAAAAATTTTATATTAATTTAATGAATATAAAACTTTAATAACGAATCCCCTATGAGAAGACAAGTACTTAACAGTGTGTACCTGAATTTAGTTATAGATGTTAGACGTCAGGCAAGAAACGATGAACGTACTTTCATAAATAATTTAGTTTCGGAAATTGATGCAGCTTTTGTGCGCGGTTATATGAAAGCTGTTTTTGATCTCATAAAGAAACTTTCATATAACAAGTACAGTAACAACATGCCCATCAAAGATAAGTTAGGCAAGGTTCTAACAACAGAATAAATCCCTGACCCAACTATCAGACAATATCTCAGGCGTTGATATGATTGCATCGGCTATCTTCCCACCAACTCGGCCTTTAAGAAGTATAACTACAAATCCCCTTAGCATAGAAAAAATTATGCAAGCTATAACGCAATTAAATAAATTTGAAGTCTGCAGGAACTGATAATATTCTAGGGAAATCTTTCAAAGTAGGTGTGAATGCTGTGGCTGACATCCTAATGAATTTGTTCAAAGAGATTTGGCGTACTGAAGAAGTACCTGAAGAGTAGAAACAAAGCCTTATAATTAAGATACCAAAAAAGGGCGACAAAAAGGACTGTAACAATTTGAGAGGAATAACTTGATGGCTGCAGCGTGCAAACCTTTAATAAAATACTGTTAATAAATAAAAATTGTATTCTTTGGACACTAGATCAAAAATTACGGAAAGAAAGAATAAGCTCTAATCGCTCCTGCCTTGATTACATCAACAGTTTGCGACTTATAATAGAACAATGCAACGAATTTAATAGTTCGCTTTATCTTTCATTCATAGATTTTGAAAGTTTTTGATTCTCTCGATAAGAAATCTATATGGGTAGCACTAAGAAGCTTAGGATGCTGTTCTCAAAAAAGTGACGTATTAAAAGAGATGGATAGTTTGGAAAGTTGACTTCAAAATCTCCACTACGCATAGCACATAGTGCTTGTCTTTTCGCAAAGAGAACATTTACAAGCAAAAATCAACGATCTAGTAAAAATCGCGGCTAAAAATACGTGCTAATGTTGTTCTTTTTATTTGACACTACAGTCCAGTGTGACCCTTCCTCACGATCTGCCTCCATCTGTCGCGATCTTCTGCTACTCTCTTCCAGTTTAGTACTCCAATCTTTCTTGCATCATCATACACGTTCTCATCCCATTCTGTTCTAGGCCAACCTCTGTGCCTGGAAATTTATTTCCAATTGCTATAACTCATAACTTGTAACCTCTGGGTTCCAGTTGCTCAAAGTACAAAAAAAATCTCTGAAACGTTCTAACATTTCTTTTTTTAATTGGGTTTAACTATTTTAGATTTATATTGAATAACAAAATTTTATAATTGATTATAAATGTATTAATAATAATTTTTTTTTTTGCAGATGTATATTGCCATGAAAAAAACTGTTGTTCTTAATAATTTAAATGCTGTTGGGACGCAATTGGACGCTGAATTTGAAACGATCATTGAGCAATGGTGTTCAAACAAATGTTCTGAAAGCTTTAGGAAATATATACAAACGGGTCATTTTTGAGAAAATCACTTTTATCTGCTGGCAAAACAAAGGTGTGAGAGAGAAACCAATGATTTTTGTAACATATAAGGCCGTGAAACGGATAACCCAAAACATTTTTTGACTTTCATTTCGTTCAAACTCCATAAAATTCTATATATATATATATATGTATACATATAGCATATCTTAACATATAAGTATATCTATACGTACGTAACATATATATAACTAAAACTATGTGGAATTTGAATTTAAAAGTCTAAAAGTATTTACATCTAAAATAAAATATTATTGTATACATATGTATAGGGGAAATAAACATATATACATATAGTTATGATATATATTTATAATTTATATATATATGATTTATATATATATGATTTATATATATATGATTTATATATATATATGACTTATATATATATATGACTTATATATATATGATTTATATATATATATGATTTATATATATATATGATTTATATATATATATGATTTATATATATATGTGATTTATATATATATATATATGATTTATACATATATATGATTTATATATATATATGATTTATATATATATATGACATATATGTATGATTTATATATATATGATTTATATATACATGTTTTATATATATTTGATTTATATAAATATGATTTATATATATATATGAGTTATATAAATATGATTTATATATATATGATTTATGTATATATGATTTATATATATATGATTTATATATAAATGATTTTTATATATAAGATTTATATATGATGTATATATGATATGATTATATATGATATATGATGAGATTTTATATATATGATAAAAATATATAATATATATATATATGATAAAAATATATAATATATATGTATGATAAAAATATATAATATATATATATATGATAAAAATATATGTATAGATATGTATATTTCCTCCATACATATATATACAATAATATTTTTTATGAGATATAAGTACTTCTAGACTTTTAAATTCAAATTCCACATAATTTTATATAAATATGTAGGTTTATTCCTGTATACATATACATACAATAATATTTCATATGAGATGTAGGTACTTCTAGACCTTCAAAGATAAACTTAATAGAGAAGTGTGGATAAATTCAAAAATTGATCATTTTTAAAAATAGGTCTTTTAGAACGTTTTCTATTTCGTAAACTGTTTTTATTTTAATGGAAAGATATGTAACTATTTTTTTTTTTATAAACTGACTGTTTTCCCAAATTTGCTCAATTACATAAAGTTTAATGCATTTTATTCTTAATGAATTGTAAAAAGCAGTTATGCGATTTGAAATTATATTGCTTTGGCAATTGATACCTTTATGATATCAAAGCGATGTGGTAGACTACTTAAGATATACAATATATAATCTATGTTTAAAATGGGTTGAATCAACCTGCACGTTTCAACTTTAATATAACGTACACTTTTTTTTGGATTGCTTTGAATAGGTATCACGCGTACCATAGGTTTATTATACTAAAGACATGCATAGACATACAATACAACCATGTCAAGCAATATTTTTTTCAGTTTTCGCTCCGACAAAAATTTCGGTTATTTTTGCGGTTCGGTTCCAGTTCGAAGCCATGCTATTAAGTATAATTTTTGTTGTATTTGTTTTAGCGCTGAATATTTTTTTTAGAGATTTTTCCTACAAAATGTTTTCATTTCACTTTTATTTCGAATTTTTATTACAATTAACTAGCATTTTTTTTAATTCCCAAATTAAAGAGTTATCATTGACTTTGTCTATTAATATCGGTAAATTCAAGTTATCCACTACCATCAAACCTGGATATCTGCATACGCCATGGCGATTTGTAGTCGGCTGAAAACTCGCATTAACGGGTTTGAAGTCTTACAAGGTAAAGATAAAGATACTCTGCTGGAAACACCCCAACCTAAGCTGACCTATGTTTTAGTCTTAATGCCTATATTTTAAATAATATTAATATTGTATGTTTATGTATAATGAATCTATCTAACTACGTAAAAAAACTGAACTAAATCTGAAACAAAAAACTGATTTGGGTTTCCGGTGAACGTGCCACTCTATATGCTTTATTTTATTTGCACTTAAATTTTAAATAATAATTTCATTGTAATTATGATTTAAAGTAATATTATTAATGTAAACAATAAATTGTAACTCCTAAGTCCATTTCATAAATCGACAAACAAAATTGGATCTTCATAGTAAATTTCATGTTTATAAGTAATCGAAAATGTATAAAATAGTATAAGTTTTATATATAAATAAGCGATATGATTGTTTAATTTACGTTTTACTTTAATACAGCAATTTAGTTTTACCATAAAACAAGAAAATAAGAAAAAATAACAAAAATGCTTGCAAGATTGTAAAGTTATTAAGATATATATTTATATATATATATATATATTAATTTTTACTACATAAAGTGTATATTTAAAACGATAATTACTAAATTGAGCGTATATTTATATTTGTTAAATATGATTAATGTTTAAATATGATTTTATAATTCTATTTAAGAATTTTTTTGTATTTAGTCATTATTACAAATTATTCGGAAAATTATTTTTAATGTTATACATATATACTCTTTAATTTTTAATTGTAAATTGATCGTATAGATGCATATTTTTAATTTTAAATAATTATTTAAATTATATTTTAATTCATTCAAAACATTTTTGCATATAATCTTACAGAAAAATTATTAAAAAGTAAAATCTGTTATTTTTAATATGTTAAAAATGTTTTATTAAAAAATTTTAATGTCTTTATTTACTTTTTGTAGTAGTGATCAATATTAAAACCTTTGAATCTATAAGTGGGATATTTTAAGAATGTAAAAATATATTAATTTTTTTTGCTTTATGTCTCATTTTGATTAATTTTATAATAAAGTCCTAATTTTAACAAAATAAACACCAACTATTTTTATTTTTAAAAAATCATTTTTTATATGAGTTGTTATATTTGAGAGGATGATATATTTTGTTTTTTATTTATTCATTTTAATCGTGTATGAGTACAATTAAGTATTTGCAAATTAAGCAATTTAAATAATACTTCATTATAAAGTTTTATAGTTAAAATTATTTTATTAGTTTATATATAAATATGTGTTTAATTTTAGTATATATATGTTCTTATATATATATACCTTTTTCACAAGATTTTTTCATAATATAATAAAGATATTTATACATTAAGTGATATATATTTTTAAATATGTATATGCGTATATATTTCTTTATGCCAATATCTTTATTCTGTTACAAAAAGTTTACAAAAAAAAGGTATATATAATATATAAATAAATATATCCTATATATAAAGGACATATAAATAAAAACTAATAAAATAATTTTAGATAAAATTGTTTAAAATTATATATAATACATATATGTATATATATATATATATCTTAATATATTAATTCATTCTAAATAAATAAGGACCAAATCGTAACTTAAAAAAGGTTGAGTGTCTCTACATCTCATTAAAATTACAATTGATACATTTTTTTTGTTAACATTGAACTTATAGCACTTTCAAATATAAGAACTCATAAATACATTTTTTATTCTGTAAATTGTAAATGTAAAAACTCTTTAAATAAGTTTAAAAATTTATCATAAAATGTACAAAAACAGGATTAAGAATGTTAACATAAATGTTATTATTTTTAAGAGTTATCTTAACTTAAGAAAATAGTGAGTAATAGATCCTTAGCGTGTAATGTATAAAATAAAATAAATTTTCTATAAAAATCAACAACGAAATAGATTTAAACAAATAATAGTAACATTATTACTAAAAAACAATTTTTAATCAAGTCTGACAAAAGGTTTTATAACTTATCTTAAATATTAATAATATAGAACAGGGCTGTCGAGATCAGATACGATCGCGGGCCAATACAAGTCATTGTACAGATTAAGGGGCCGCAGAAACAAATAAATACGTCTATGATTTTTTTTTTGTGAACAATAAAAGTTCGGTGATAATGTCAAATTTAGTTTTATTAAATTATTCATTTGTATTCATTTTTTTGGGATAGCATAAAAATAAAACATTGTAATTTTACCAATATTTTAGATTAACATAGCAACTTGATGCGGGCCGCATCTGGTTCGTGAGATGTGCCTTGGGCAGCCCTGATATAGAACATTGCAGCTAAATTGTTATTACAACTATATTCGTTGCTTGAAAGCTGTTTTATAAAGTTTACAATTATTATATATATTAATATTAAATTATTATCGTAACCCATTAACGGATTACATGAAGAATACACGGGATGGAAAATGTGAGGGCAAGTCGAGAGTTTACTAGGAGAATGATGGAAAAAAATGTTAATGTGGGTGAGGTGACAATTAAACGTAGCTTAAATCCATGTGAAGGAAGCTTATTATTTCGATAAGATTGAATGTTAAACTAATCGAAGTAAAACTGGTGTATGTGTTCGGATATTATAGCCGATTATGAGGGATAAAACTAGAGTTAGGAAAGGAAAATGTGTAAAGTGAAATTGATTGATTTTCATAAAATTTGATGTTAACTTTAAGTTATACTTTGTTCTGCTAAAAGATGATTGGCATTACAATATGTCAATTACAATTACGATATAGCATAGACCACTTATACTGTGTTGTAAAATTATAAAATTACCATCTTCGGCAGAGTTGAAAACTTTTTTTCAATAAAATTTATGTCGGATCTTTTAAACCAAAAAATTTGTAACTTAAAGTTAAAATCTATATAATTTATATAAATGGAAAGCTAAGCTATATTGAGTTATAGCATAGTGGAAGAATATGTTCAAAATATGTGTTTTCTAAAATTCACTGCCAAATAAAAGTGCCCGAGAATTCGGGTCGTGCCTAAATTCCTAGATAAACTGCTCTTACAATGTATAAATCAGGCATTGATCAATGATTTCATCAAAAGTTTCGTGAAATTCCCGGGAATTTGGATCGTACCTAAACTCCTACATTAATTGCTCTTACAATGTCTAAATCAGTCATTGATCAATGATTTCATCAAAAGTTTTATAAAATTCCTAGGAATCCAAACTCCTAGCCTAAACTTTTAGATTAACTGATGAAGGCAAAGGCGAATTCCTAATATTAGGAGATACACAAAGTACGAAATAAACGTTAAAATATTAAAAAACAAAAATAAACTTTAAAATATTAAATGCTTCAAAGAGAGGCTGGAACCCCAAAACTCTTCGTCGTTTACAGTACTTACAAGAATCCAATGAGATATATTTGTATCAAGAGATGTAAAAAATGATAAAATAAAGGCATCAATGTGGACACAATTCTAGACAAGTGCATGTAATCCTTTAGTGATGTGTATATGTAGTTTGATTTAAGATTTAATAAAATTTTTAATTTAATATTAATAATAATAATATTATAAATATTTAACAATTTTCGGAAAGAATTTGTTTTACGGTATGGAATTTGATTAGATACAGATGCCCTAAGATACTGGGATAGCTCAAATTATTAAATCAGGTGGCATTGAAATTAGGGAAACGGCTACAGGTTTTCTTATGACTTATGTGGCAAGGACGAGTTTTCTTATGATTTACGTCGCAAGGACCGGTTTTCATGTGATTTATATTGTAAGAACGGGTTTTTTTGTGATATATATTGCAAGGACTGTGAACTACTAATTGGTGGAATCACTAACACCACATACGCAAAACATTTTACTGACAACAGCGAATCTCCACTTTATTTGGATGACGAAAACACAATAGAGAGAATGTCAGTATTATGTTTCTGTACTGCATTCTCAAGATTCATACTTAAAATAGTAAAGTACGACGTCGTATGTAGCTTTAATTAAACAAAAACACCTGAACATTGGACAAAAAAAGCACAAGTCAACTATTTCAACTAAGACCGAAACCTACTCAGCGACAAGGTATCTGTGCTAACGAGCCATTGCGAAATAGAAAGGCATGCTATGAGACTCGTTCTATCCTATAATAACTTTTGTTGTTGTTATGGCGATGAGGAGACCGTGCTTCATCTCATGCGCCAGTGCCTTTTTAAAGGTTCCTTTTCTTACCGACTTGACCGAGCTGTCATCGTGTAATATTATGGACTTAGCCCAATACACAGAACTAATATTATGGACTTAGCCCAATGCACAGAACTAATATTATGGACTTAGCCCAATGCACAGAACTAATATTATGGACTTAGCCCAATTCACAGAACTGTTAGGTTGATTTTCTTTTACCTATTGGGGGAGTCATTACCTTTTTCGGTGTTGGTCGCATACTGATCTTTCAGTCTATGTACGTACTAGTGCTAATCCCGTGGTACTACAATAGGCCAATATTTGAGTTCAATTGGGCTTTTTGAATAAAAGGCCGTCACTTCAATCTACCTATCTAAGTAGCTCGAATAACAGCTCCTTACCTCTTTCAAATACTATTCGTTTCTTTAAAAGTCAAAAATTGATGTAATTATTGGAATGAGTTTTACAGTACAATGGATCTTTACGGTCTGAGTGCAGTAACTCTATCCACAAAACATTCCCAAGAGGTGGTTTTAGTAGGTACAAATTTTACACGTTGACTTTCGACGCTTTCAAGCAACGGAAAAAAAACGTCACGTTTTTAAATACGAATCAAAAATAATTGACTGTCCGGTTTAAAGCAGGAATTTTAGTTAAAAAGAACTTATAGTGGCAAATTGAGTGAGTATATACGAAAGAAACCTTATATAAATTCCTTCAACTCCTAAGAATGAACATAGGACCGCAAAGAAAGAAATATTAATATTATGAAATTATTACTAAGTCCAATAGATCAGCGCAAAAGCGTAAATAGAAGCTCAAAAAGGATTTAATGTATCGGATCTGTTTGTATTACCTAGCTTATTCCACAACCCATGTGGGATTGCACCGTACCACATCTGTGCGTGCGTATCTTTAATCTAACAAAATTGAGTACAAAATTTTAATTAAAATTTCAAAAAAATAATTTTACAATTTCTATTTTGTTGTCTATTTTACATAACATTCTATAATTATATTTTTATTTGCAATTTGGAAATGATTTAAGTGGGAAGAAGTGTCAATTCCTTGCTTAGATTGGCATTATTTTAATATATATTGAACTTTGAGTTCTAATTGGAATTAAATATTTTTTAAAGGGAATAATTTAACCTGCAGTTATTTTATTTTCGACCTTATGTATTTCAGTTTGTATATTTTTGATAACGATTTCAAAATTACGTATATCCGCCGATATCTGTTCAAGACTCAGAGCAATATTTTTCATTTTTTCACGATCAATTTGTACTTCAAGATCTCGTATTTCCTTTGTGACATTACCTGTTTGTGAAACCAATTCAACAAGATGACTGCAGGTTTCATGCAGTGTGGCCAACAGTTTATAGGCTTTCTTGGCATGTAAATCGTGCTTGGCACTCTGGAATAGTAAGTCGTCAGTATAGTTGAATTGACGTTGCAGTTGTGCTGAGACAGCATTCAATTGTTTTTGTAAGTCACGCGTATCATCCAAGACCTTAAAGATATCATTCCGTTGCTTCCGTATATTTCCTATGAATTCTAGTATCCTACGTGTGTATTCCTTGCGTAAAGCCGCTGCATTTGGATTATTTTTGAGTTCTTCACTTAGTTGTGCATGTTGAATATTTTTCTCATGTAGTGTTTGTTCCAGTTGTGTGATTGTTTCTCGTAGTTCCAGTACGTTTTGTACGTTTTTTGCTTGTTTTGCAGTTTGCAACACTTTAAGTGTCTCTTCCATTGGCTTGCGATAGCTCTGCCATTGCTGTTCCCTTGTTTTGCGTCGTTCCTTTGTTGTGGCTATAAGGTTTTCAAGTTTGGCTATATTTTCTTTTGGGTTTTCAAGAACGACACATGTGCGTTCATGCATTTTTGCTTCTTGCTGCAAGCTTTCGATTTCATTCTGTACCGCTGTTTGTTGACTTCTTAAACTGACTATTTTCATGCTGCTTCCCTTACGTTCGGCAAGTAAAGCTTCGTATTGTGATTTTAATAGGTTTATTTCTTCAGTTAGTTTTTCCACTGGAGATAATACTTTATTTTTAGTAGTTACGTCTTTTGTGCTAGCGTCTTCATTGACAACCTTTTCTGGTATTTTTGTAGTTTCTGCATTATCAGCTCCAAAGGTGAATTTTACGGGCTCTTCCTCATCTTTGCTATGCAGATCTATAGAATTCTTATGTATCACAGAACTTATTAAGTCATATTCTTCCATTGCAGTTTGTTGAAAAATGTTTGGCGCTTGTTGTTGTAGATAGTTTTGCACCTCTTTTGCGATAGTACCGGTACCCAGTATGTTCAGGTTTGGTTGTGGCACGAATTTAATGTTAAAGCTACTACAGCCGTTTTGCTTTACTGCTCTTGAATATTGCGGTATCCAAGCACGTTTAAGTTGATTGAGTATTTTTTCTTTTATTTCTCTGCGCAGTATTTCATATTCCCCAATTGGACCCTGATTTAGTGCATCTGTTGATGTTTGATTATCTTTAGGTAGTTGTTCTATTAAAAACATTAATAGGCGTCGCACTTCAATTGCATTGGGATACAAAAAAGTTTGATAACCAATATCGCCACGATAGCCATAACTGGCACATGCTTCTGCAAGTGCAGTCGCCACAGCAAATCTCTGCGCCATATTTGGTGGCAAAGTACGTGGTACTGGCGTTGGCTTTATTTCTTGCAGACAAGTTGATACAGCCTTAACCAAAAGTTCTGGCGTAAAGTTTGTTAAATTAAATGCATCCCCCTCGATATCACAACCAATTTGTCTTAATGAGTAAATAATAATTTTGTCCACTTCATCCATTTTGCACTCAAAATTTTATTTTAGTTACCAAAATCTGGCACGGAGCTATCACACAATTCAAGAATTTTTTTGACACATCGAAATAACTAAACAAAGAATAACGAAAAAATTATTAAAAAGAAAACAAAAAATGTTTTATTATTTTCTTTGTTCAACCTGTACGTAAATAAAGTTTGATAACAGCTTGTCACAATTTCAACTCCACACATAATTCTTCGCACACCTCATTAGTAATAATGTTCGTTTAGTTTAATGTTGAAGGATTCAGTGTTGGGCAATTTGATGTTGTCACTTAGCAAATTGATGTCGTCTTTGATTCGTAAATCTAGATACAATCTAAATTCACACTGGATTCCCATCGAACATTTTTATAGTTGTGTTATAGTGGATTCACACAAGAAATTCATAGAGAATTTTAGAAATGTGCAAATAGCATACCACAAAGAAAAAAATATTTGTGTTATATTATCGAACTCTAATCTATAACTTGTACATAATATATGCAAGCATAATATTTCTATTTAGCAATTCAACCCTTTCACAGTTTGTCAATTTAGCTCGAGTTTAGCTTGTTGAATTAAAATCATTAATAAGTTCTTTTAGGGAATACAAATAAAAAATCCTATAATTGTATACAATATAATTAAAATTGTGCTAACTGAACCAATAAGACGTATATATATAGCAGTATATTATTACACTATAGCAAATAATCTTACTTCTCATTGAAATTGCTAATTTTGTTCTTTTGAATGTGACGACCATGTATGCAATTGATAATAAAAACAAACTAAAAATGAAATAACGCATTATATTGTAAAGTGAAGTATAAACAATAGGATATTATACATTTGAGGAAATGGATTACATTTTAAATTATAATATATTTTGTGTGAAAAGTATTCAAAATTATTGCATAAAACACAAAACCAATCATTTAAAATTTATTTTGCTGCTCCTGAATCATATCAAATGCATTACAACGATATCAGACGATATATTATTTTCAATTACATTCTTATTTACAATTAAATGATATATTATTTTCATATATTAAGGATACTTATGAAATTTTTTAAATTTAAGCAAATTGCAATAAGAAATTGTATGTGTAACTTGTTTAATTTTTATTTGTTTAAATCAGTTGTCGTATGAACGCCGTTGTCGTTTTCATACAAAAAAGATTAATGTCGAAAGTACATAGACAAATATTTAAAGTATTTACTAAAGTAATTGAATAAATTTATATAATAAAATAATCAAATTATTTATCTTTATTGTCAATTTTTTGCATATATTAACAAAAATAGAAAAACTGCAAAATCACGCATTGCAACAATTTATATATTTGTGACAGCATAAATTTATATATTTACATAATTTATAAACGGCAGTTTATATATGAAGTTTAAGTTTAAACAGTTTCGGAGCTGATGGCATTTAAGCAAGCCTGTAAACGTTATTGATATAGTGGTAATATAGTAATTGGTAACAAAATTTAAACCTAAATACAAAAACATTTTTTATGAATACCTCTATTATAACTTTTAATTTAAAGTTATTTAATTTTTTTACTACAAGTATGTATGGAAACAGACTTTATATTTGCAAACTATATGTATGACTTACTATCTACAAAGCGCCATCTTTGTTGAAAAAAATTTCAGCGCGCTGTCAGATCATACAACTCAGCCAACGCTTGAAATTGCGGCAATTTTAAAAAGATTCTTGTCAGTCAGATGATATTGGCGCCAGTTCTGTTATTAAATTTTGTTTGCAAATATAAAGCGCTGAAGGTTGCATATATATTATTTAACTACACTTTCAAATTTTTGTTTAATGACAAAATTGTAAACATCGAATTGCAACGCCAATTTTTAATAGGAATACCTTTTTTGGCGTGCGGAGCGCTAGCAGTTGTGTGTGTGTGTGAGAGAAACTGTGCACCGCCATATCATACTAGTAAACTAACATTTTGAAAGAACAAAAAAAGACTAGCAAATAAATTCGAAATTGACATTGAAAGTTGTAATTAAATTTTTACAAATGATGGAGGACAACCAATCGAATGAATCAAACGATATTCAGCTTGAACCGACAACAATGAATACAAGTGTGGTCGACATGAAGGAGCAAAATCAGCATGAAGTAACAGGTGATAACGGAGTAAAGTTAGTCAATATACCACCATTTCTGAATGAAGATCCTGAATTGTGGTTTGCACAAATTGAAGGCTATTTTCATATCAACGGCGTTACGTCCGATTTGTCTAGATTTTTTACTGTAACTACTTCATTAGATGTCGAAACTCTTCGTAGAGTATCGGATTTAGTAAAAAAACCACCAGAGGACGACAAGTACGAGACACTAAAAAGGGAAATAATACAACAATTACACAGCTTAAAACGACATCAACTAATTTTACTTTTAATTGGTATGGACGGATCCAACAAACGTCCTTCGGAATTGCTTCAGATGATGAAAGTTCTTACAGCATCTCACATGCTTGACTTCGAATTACAATATTATTGGCTTCGAAAATTACCTAAAAATATTCAGCGTATTCTAAAAACATGCAATATGGATGACGTAAATAAATTAGCCAAACTGGCAGATAGTATAATAGACAATATACCCAAATTGCAGAATGTTGACTCTAAAACTACAAATTCACAAAATGACAGTTCAGAGGAATCGGGGCTGAATGCACGTATTACAGCATTGGAAGAATCAGGGCTGGATGCACGTATTACAGCATTGGAGGAATCAGGGCTGGATGCACGTATGACAGCATTGGAGGAATCATTACAGCAAGTAGAAACTAGATTAACTGGATTGAATATCGAGATCTATAATAGATCAAGCTCACGTCAGCGAAAGAGGCAACGCAGTTCCAGTAAAGAACAGGTTGTAAGCCAGCCTGTCATTCAGAATTTTTGCTACTACCATCTCAAATTTGGCGCACTCGCTAATAATTGTATTCAGCCGTGCAATTTTGCTGAAAGTCAACAATGAAACTGACACTCTTGTTGCCGACGAAGTATAGGACGAAGTTTTCGAATGAAACTAACTAAAAAAATCACGTTTACAATATGAATATTTCAATTAATACTGGCTCATATGTATCGCATGTGGAAACTTTCTTTACAGCCTAACGTTTTGTGACGTGTGGCAGACTTGCTTCCTTGGCAATTTTTGACTTACATCTGACAGTTATTCTGATGCAACAGTTGCGGTTTATTTCTATGCCAAGGGACATATTTTAAAGATTTTTTAGCAATATTTTAAAGCAATATCTTATTGCTGTAAAAGTAGAGCTAGCATTATATATTTTCTTGTGATACGAGTATTTACATTATTAATTATTATTAAAACGAAAATGTGTTGTATTCAATTATTCAAATAATTTGTTTAATTTTTGATAATTTTTTCTAGCTAAAATAAAACGCTTAATTGTTTCATTTAAAATTTATTTGATATTTTATTTTTTTTGAGCTTTATTCCGGTGTTCAATAAGTGAGTTTCCTAGAGTTTAGACTTTATATTAATTGCGCATATATAGCAGATCATCTATGGGCTGCTTTTTATTATGAAATAACATTACGTGTGATCGTTACTATCATATGTCCGTCTTGGTTTCGGACATTAACGGCAATTTTGGGAGTGATCTTTCAGCTTACCGCACTCAAACATCTTACGAAAGATTATTTGAAAGTTCTTTCGTATTCTGGCAGCGGTCTTTTGCAAGACTGAAAGCTGAAAGCGCAAGACTTTTAACGATCTTGCCAGAATTGCCCTATATATGAAGGGTGCTCAAATATGTTACAGCTATATAAAAAAAAACTATTAACCACTCTTTTTCTATATCTCAATTGAGGTGACTTAATATATTGTTAGGATTTAACCTAACTTAAGATGGTTACTGATTGTCGTATAAGTCACCATTTGAATTGCCGATAAATTCCAAAGATTTTGGATTATTGGAAGTAACTTCCTATTGGAAGTTAGTTATTTAGGAAGTTAGTTGCTAGGATGTTTAGCTTATTTATATATAGTCAGAAATCAAAACAGAGAACCAAAATTTCATTTATTTTTGTATTGCGGTGTTAAGTAAGGGAGCGTTCAAATATTGCGTACTGCCAATTTTTGATATTTTTTAATCCACTTCATTCGTCTAAGATCAAATTAATCTCGATTCTTGGGATGTTTAATAACTTTAGTGGTAACTGAGTATTCTCAGTGGGTATGCAATATTTTATTACTTCCCACCAGGTATGATAATCGAAATTTTAGAATCAACCTCGGTCGACATATATAATTTTTTAAGATCTATTTTAGACGTACGCGTCAGGCTTATTCGCATATAATATATAATATATAAATAATATATTGATTTAAGTAAGCTCATCAAACTATACATAAGGGATAGAGCCCTGAAGCTATTGGCGAAAATTGACAGGCTGCACTACATAGCACTATATAATCTCAGAGCAATCACTAACCATACGGGGCGGTACGCAGATCTTAGATCAGTACATTGGTTAAGAAAGAGTAAAAGTGCCCAGTTGTACTAACTCGGAAAAATCTCAATATAAGATATAAAACAGACAAAATTTATGAAATGGTTGGAGCAGATAATATGTTTATTTTATTTTAATTTAATAAGTATTTTAATTACAAATCCTATCTTGTATTTTTTAATATATTTATTCATATATTATAATAAAAAGTTATAATATTAATAATAATAATAGTAATAATAAATTTATATTATAATAAAAAAAAGCAATTCGTTTTTGATTTTGAAAAAGAAGCTCCACACAATTAGTATTATTTTTGTTTGCATAAAATAATAGTTATTTTTGAGTTTTGTTTTTAAGTCAAGAATAAGAATTATCTTTGAGTTTTAAAATGAAAGGCAGAGTTTACGACTTATTTGTGCGCGGAAAAGTATAAGCAACTATTAATAATTATTGTTTAAACTTCTGAAAATAATATTAATATTTTATTTATATTAAAATTGGCCTTTTTATATTATAAAATAAATAATTCAGATTTATTTTTTATTATTTTTAAAAATGATATATTTTAAAATTTATATATTTATATATATATTTATAAATTGTAAACATTTTAAGATATTATTTTTAGAACTTAAGATAATTAATTATGTATAATATGAGTAATATTTTATTTTAAATATGTGTTACAACAACAATATATAAATTCAAGTGGATTAAATGTATTTTACCTAAGAATATTTTTTTTTAAAACTGACATAAAAATGTCACATAAGAGATACATTTCCATCCACGCAATGTAGAAGGCATTTCAACGTACATTCCTTTTGGACATTTTGAAGATTATTCGATGTAAAAAATGACTTTGGATTGACCGCAACAAATGTGGCAAATTGGATTTTTATGTGAATTTTATGGAAATGGGAACTCACCGAATGTCACTTGATGTTTTTGTGTGTAATAATCATCATTTGTGGTTGAGGCTTGAGGATTTCAACTAAAAGGCATTCAATTGACTATTTCGTCTACACACAAAAAAATGGACATTTGAGGAAAATCATATCAAAATGAGTACATACATACATATGTCAATAAGTTATTGTTTCAAGATATGTAAAAATATATATTTAAGTTCATTGAAATAGTTTTATAATAACATTGACCTCTGACACTTGATGTAGATATGCTGTAATGAAATTGAAATTTGTAACACGTGGTACTATTTAAAGGGGAAAATATTTTCTGAATATATGTAAGTGGGTTAATGTTTATATATATTGTATAAATATGTTTAATTTTTAATCAAATATTTAGTTTTTATTATATATATTGCATATACTACAAACAATATCGGGTGGTGCCTACTGGATTTTAATTACCTCTTACGACAGGCATGTCTGTCGAAATGGGGAATATTCCAACCCTATTTCGTAATCCGGCGATGAAAACTACGATTGAAATTAAGTTAACTGTGTGAATAGGTAATTTGGGGTGTGAGTTGAATTAGAGAAATCGACAACAAAATTAAGATTCTTAGCACAATGTGAATAGGTTTTAAAATGATAAAATTGTTTAATTGAAAAAATTTAAATTATATAAAATTAATTATTTATTATTTTAATGATCAAATAATTTTTTGAAAATAAATTTGTATTTTTACGGGCTAATTGGTCAATAGTATAATAAACTTTTTAAAAATATTTATTTGTTTTTAAAAGATTTTATTTTTACCGATATTTCGACTGTAATCTATAGACATCATCAGGGTACTATAAAATTTATATACAATGTAACAATATTTTAGTATATATCACAAAGAAACAATTATAAAATACATTAACATAGAAACATGAATTATATAAATGTATATAGATACACAATACCATGACAATAGATATAAAAATAACATATACAGGAAAGATATATTTATCCTTTTCCGAATTCTCAGGTGTTTTTATACACCTGTGTAAAGTGTTGTATGTCAGTTTAAAGTTGAGTCTGGCGTCCCTAGGAGTTTGGAGGATGTATAATATTTCCAAGAAAAAGCGCTTTTGTTGATTATTTTCTTGGTGTAACACCTATACATTATCGAGGTCCGGCTCATGCTTTGATGTAATACAGTGTGGTGATGCCAGTGTCGTTTTTGACTCAATATTATTTTTATATTTTATACTGTGTTTATGTCTGGCTATATGCGTCTTTACCTTGTTTTTTGTTGTTCCAACATATACTTGGTTGAATATGTTGGATTCGTCACCTTTACATTTAATTTCATAAACCACATTGTGTTTGTCCAAAGTAATTATTTTTGATTTGGTATTAGAGAACCGCGTCTTCATCGTGTTTTGCGTCTTATATGTAATTTAATATTTTTATTTGTCATATATTGTGGATGTTGCAAATCGATTGGAGAGTTTTGGGACATATGCAATATTTTTATAAATTTGAGTATTCTGGTTTACCTCTTGATTTTTGTTTAAAACCCTTTTATGTTAATGTCGTTTCTCCTCCTCGTGGAAAATTATGTACTGAATAACTTCTGAACGAAGAAGAGCAAATAATATAATCTATATATTCCTACGCAAAAATTTAAATATTATACATGATATATAAAAATTCTTAAAATTAGGTGACAACGAATTGCATCAGCTGCTGAACGCGTATATTCATTTAGAGAATGGTAGCAAAGATGGGAGCAGTCCTCTAAGGGACGTTGGACCTATACACTCATTCCCAACATTAAGGAATGGGTGTCAACAAAAAACATGGTGTAGTTGATTATAATCAGACTCAAATATTGAGCGGTCACGGAGGCTTTTTAGTATATCTTTACAGATTTCAACTGTCAGATAGTCTATACTGCCCAAATTGCCACAATGTCGTAGAAAAAGCAGAACGTGTAGCTTTTCGCTGTGACCGATTTAATAAAGAACGGAAAATACTTGTGGAGGTCCTAGAATATCTACCATCTCTTAGCAGCGTTATACATGAAATGTGCTCAAGTAGCTTTAAATGGAATGCAGTAAAAACGTTCGCAACTCAAATTATGCGGCGTCTACGACTTTACGAAGAGGAAAGAAGAACAGCTGCAGTGATACACCTGCAACGATAATGAATGCATACATACAGTATGAAAACTGTAATGCAATGACGACAAGAAACTGACGTTTAAGCTTCGTGCTCTGGATGGTCTCTTGAGGCCTAACCGTCGGACATCGGAGGGACAAAGTTTCACACTGACTGGGCTTTCGATGCTTTACACCTCGTTAAAAAAACACAATGATACTCTCACACACCCTTGAGAGCAAGGAAGGACTGCTAATTGGGCGATAGTCAGAACGGGATGCATTTGAATTTTTTTTCAATTGGAATAATTTTTGCAAGTTTCCATGCAATAGAAAATATTGAAGTACTAAAACAGCGATTAATTATATGTGTCAGAGAAGAAATAATTGATTGAATTGTGTCAAGAATTTCAAAGGAATTCTATCGCATTCGATTTAATTTTCATCACATTATTGAAAACCACTTCTTGACTAACACACTCGAAGCTAAATAAACCGTCAGAGTCGACGCAATCACGAAAAGGAAACACAGGATTGATGTTTAAACTATTACCAACAGACAAAACAAAATAATCATTTAAATTATTGGGATCTACGAAAGACACAGGGTAGATTATTCCAGAGATATTTTTTTTATTGACCACAAAGGTTTAAAGAAGGTTGATTTAGCTTTATAACTAGCCGCGGAAATTAAATTCCTTTAAATCACATCCAATTGAATGCAGTGGGATATGTTTACCAAACAGCATATTTTTTATTTATTTTTTTTAACTAAAATATTTTTTATTTTTAAATATAATTTTTAATATTTACATTTTATTATTGTAGTTCTATATATATAAGTTTATCTTATAATATCCATATTTTTAATGTCAATAACGCGAAATAAATATTAATCTATTCTTGAATATTTAGAAATTGGAGAATTTGTCTACGTCACAAAATGAACCCAAAATTTGAAACAATATGGATTGATTATATTATTTTTCCCGATTTAAGTACAAAAATTAACGTAATTACAAAAATTAAGTTATAAGAATACGTAGTAAAACTTTGATATAAACAAACTTAGTAATAAGAATAAGGAAAATGCTTATAAAAATTAAAATAACATATAAAAGTAGATTTTTGCGATTACAAACGTTACCATATGGCACTACCGTTTGATTTTTGAAAAACATAGTCTTTCCCAGCTATATTCATAATACCAGATCTAAGGTAGAATTTCCATTTATTACGCAAATGTGTTATTTTATCATATTGACAAACAATGACATTCTCAGTATCAAGATCAGTAGACTCGTCATCACTTATATCATCTCTACTGTCAAGTGGTTCTTCTTCAGTTCCATCACTATTTTCTATATCTTCATATTCATCTTTATCAATATCCTCATCGTCTTCATCAATTAAATCTTCACTAACATCGCTTTCCTCTTCATCTGTAGTATCCACCAGTTTACCATCAAGTTGTTTTGATGGATTGAACTTCTGTATACCTTTTTTTTGTAGTGCCGCTGTTATGTGTTGTTGTAGCGCATAATGAGCCAATCTTGTTGGCAAACATATAATAGATGATATTAGCTGTGATGTTAAAATTTGTTGAAGTTGATTTTCCTGCAAGGCTGAAGCTGGCACTTGTACAGTAAGTACGCGAGGTTCCGTATTTTCGCTTCCAGGTTGAGCAGGTAAAGTAATATTAACGTGCATAATTCGAGATGGATCTAGTGCAGTAACAATTGGGAAGGGATCAGTGGTTGATGTTTGTTCTTGTGAATTAGTCAATCCGACTGTTGCGCCTCCTGTTGATCCAGCATTGCCGGCAATACCTTGATTTATATCCAAATTTGTGGATGCTATTGCTGAAGAACTGTTATGTTGAGCAGCTATAGCTATACGTGCTTGTCTCTTAGCTTTAGCCGCAGAGGCCTTTGTGGGCTTTTGGTTGTTGTCTATACTTTGTAGAGGTTGTGATTCTGATTTTTCAGGATTTATATCAAGAGCTTTACTCGACATTAATTTGCTACGCCATAACTGTTTCGTTTCTTGTAGCACTTTTTCATCTACGCCATCATCGAGAAAAGCGTCTCGCACGTTCGATATAACATCTTCTATTACGCTATCGTATACTTTTAAAACCGAATTTTGGCATAAAGCCATTTGCGCCTTCCTTTTCGCCAGTTTAAAGGCCGTTATGCTGCACCTAAAGTAGCAGTCAACACACTACAATATGTAAAAAATCACCACAAAAGAATAAAAGCCGAACACGTTCACGACGCCTGCAAAAACAATAACACTATGTTCCCAAAGCACAAAAATTTTATCCCTTTATTTTTAAAGAATAGTTACAGTTTTTCATTATTCTATGGTGTTGTCATTAAAATGTCTTAAAAAATAAGTTCAGATTTTTAGCTTTAAAACATCGTGTAAACGAATGTTTTTAAAACCAATTTATTAAATATTATATTTCTATTTTCAATGCTGATAAGATAAATTAAATGCAAAATAACTGTGCTTAACAAATAAATAGGTACGTAGTATAGACATCTAGAACTACATAGATCATTTACAAAAATTATCCACATGTATTTTACACTTAATAATTAATAGCAATAGTGAAAATACATTAACATACATTTCATTTAACTATATAATGAACATATGTTTAAAATTATTTCCTGTGAAATGTTGTTTAAAACTGCTGAATAAAATAGTTTTAACTAAGGTCGATTTTATAAAAACTGTAATATTTTTAAAAATACTATAATACTATATATATATATATTTTTTTTTTTTATTTATATAGATATTTATTTACATTTGTATTTATTTTTCAACAATGCTACGGTTTTTATAAAACCGATCTTAATTAAAACCATTTCATTCAACAGTTGTAGCTTCTTAACTTAGCAAGAGACTTTGATTTAATTTAGAGTAAACTAAAGAGGAAAACATAATAATAGGAATTATTAACTGTTTCCCCAACACGCAGCGAGTAACATCCTTGAAAATGCTAGACTATCGATAGTCTACAATAGTTTGTCATAGCAATGCTTCACAAAAAAAGCGCACTTTTGGCATTTGTAGTTTGCCACGACTTAAACTAAATTTTAAATTCTAATTCTAAAATCATCAAGGGGATAAACATTTCCACATTACATTACTTTTAAATAGTAATGAATAAATATTTCTGTGTACCCACTACTTCAGTCAAGTTCGAGTGCATGATCAGTAAAGCTAGACAAATAATTTCAGAACGCCGGATTTTGACTGAGAGAAAAAACATCAATATGATGTTATTTACCAATAAAAATTTTTGGTTACTAAAATCGCAAAGTTAGGCCTTTTTTTTTGTAACCATATCATCTATTGTAATTTAATCTATTGTGAACGATTTTTAGAAGTACATACGAAATTTCAAATTAACTGTCAACTAATGATTTCGTTAGTTCTTCGTATTTGTTCGTAACAAATACGTCACTTTTCTATTTATTATTTTACTACTAAAAAGCATGAAAATTCAAATATTATTCACAATCATGTAAAAAAAAATATTCCTACCAATAATTACAAAGAATTATTATTTTATCACGAATTTTGCATATATAAACCTAACAAAATTTCTATTTTGCCCAGAGTTGCCATCGTAAGTAATGCTTATTTTATTTGCCCTTTTCCGACATGCTTACAAAATAAAAGGCCTATTGTGGAAAAAAGGATTTGAAATTCATGATTTTTATTTTATTTTATTTAAGTAAAATATTATCTCCAAAAATGAAATAAAATGTGTCATATTAATTAAATTTTAGTTGAAATTCAAAATAAAAACAAGATTTTTTTAATTGAAAAGACATTTGTATTGAAATTAACATACTATGGAAAACTATCGATAGTTTTCTACCTCTAGTATGTATTGAGATTGTAAATAATAAATGCCAGTAATTTATAAATTATAAAGTTATTCTTCTTATCAATTACATTTATAAACTTTTTATATATATAACATAATACTTCCTTTTTAATTTTTAAATAGGAACTATAATACCAAAGAAAGGAATTGTGAGTACATTATAGAGTGAGAATATTTTAGAGAAAATTTATTTACCAATTTGAAATTGCTCTTAAAAAACTTTAAAAAAATGCTATTATAATCATAATTGTGCTTTGTACTAGCTTTTTAATTTGTGAAAATTGTATATATAGAGTAATACTAATAATTAGAAAGATGAAGAAGGTTGATAAGTATTTAATATATGTGGATTATATGGAGTACTATCATACCTAATTACGCCAACAGACTGAAGATTGTTTAAATATTTAATTTATATCAGCGAAGGTGATATGTAATACTAGAGCAAATTACTAGAAGCTAAAAAATTTTATTTATATAATTCATGATACAAAGTTTGCTATTTATTTCTAGTAGGGCAACACAATAGACAAGCATATATCATCTAAACCCAACCTACTATTCATTTAAAAAAAATAGGAAATATATATTGCTCGAGGTGGTAACTATATTTGAATTTATTAAGTTATTTTTAAATTTGATCACGTATAATATATAAATATTATATATATAAGTATATATATTGATCAGCAATAAATTCTTTTGAAGTTATAATGTATTGTATTTATCACATATTTAGTTTTTTCTTGCTGGCATTGTAGTTTGTGTTTCTTTCTCTTGATTTGAAATTGGTATACTGTTAAAATTTTTTTTAACTGTGTAATTTAATATTTTTTAAGATAACACGCTTGAAAGCTCGAAATATTATATTAGAAAATACAAAGTGGGTAAACTGCCGATTTTAATTGTCATTGCAAGTTTGTGTTATCAATGCAAAAATTATATATACTAGTTGCCGTCAGATGGCGTGTATAGATTCTTGTAAGCGTCATCAATTTAGTATAGTTCCTTGGAGTTGCTCGAAAAATTGTGTATAAATTTTTCTGGATTATTAACTAATTTCAAAAATTTTGTTTAATGAGGTGAAAATATTACGCAGTACAATAACAAAAAGCCTAATGCTACATAATGGCGCGTGAATATTTTCCCCACCCGGACCCTGATACTTTGCCCACCCGGTCCCTACTCACCACGATATTTGCTAAAGTAAGAGAGGTTTCTGAGAAATTTCGTTGTTTGTTTTTGTTTTTTGACATTAAAAATCCGTTACGAGAAAATGCGCCAAAGTTGCAATTAAGTGCACAAATACCACATTACTAAAAGAAAAATAAGGCGGAATTTGTTTTCAATTATAAAAGCATTAAAAAAAGGTAATTATTCCAGAAAAATATATGAATTATTAGTTAATTAAAATTTATTTACAATTGAAACGGAAGTGCGTACTTGGATGTTTAAATTTCAAACATCTCTATATTTTTCCAAACGATTATCGAAGGTATATTATTAATTAAAAATAACGCAATTTATTGTTGAAGAATAAAGTAAATGTAAATATAATTTATATAAATATAAATGTATTAACACATTAGAAACTTAGATGTGTGCCTAATTAGTGTATATAATAAACTACGAATTAAGTTGTGCTTTTATTTTTTATTTTTTCCATGATATACTAATAATTATAAAAAAGGAAAAATCCTGAAGAGAAATTAATATTATTAATTATACTTTGATTGAGTGTTGTTATTATATATACATATATTGAAAAATTAGAATCATAATTTTCGGATCAGTTTGATAGCAATTGCTATAAATTAGGTTTAGCGCAACATTTATTTAATAAATTAGAAAACGTTCATCCCTATATATGTTGCTCTAATTGCAAAATTGAAACTCTTCTATCTTTTTTCATTAAAGTAAGAATTTACTTCATTTTAAAATATTTCAATCGAGATAATAAAGTGTCGAATATTAAATATAAACAATTATGCTTTCAACACTTATAAACAGCACAAAAGTGTTCATACTCTTTAAGTGATTTTTTGCTTAAACATAAGACATTTTAGTTTTAATTTTATAATTTATTAAATTTATTTATAATTTATCTTTAATTTAATAGTTCCTTATTATTTTTGGTTTAATATTAAATATTTTTAAAATAGTAATATTATTTTGTATATATTAAGTTTTTCTAAATTGTATTCACATAAAATTGTATATTTGTTAAATAAAACATTTTGGTGGATAGGCCTATTGGGGAACCGAACACCTAAAACTCGGTAACGCGTCAGCAAGCATACCTCTTAGGTGGTGCGGAAAATGCTTATATATTTAATATTTCTTCTAACACTATGCGATGAAATTGATCCTTATTGTTTACAATGTTGTTATTAACTAGTTAAGAATTTCTTGAATTTCATATACAAAAAACATTTCACCTTACTGAAAGGATTGCTTAAAACTACAAAAAATATGTAGTAGTAAACAGTATATACATTTTTACGATTTTCTATATTGAAAAAATTTGATGCACAAGCAAAAATTGTATTACAATATACCAAACTTTTTTTGAATTTTAAAAAATTATATTAATATTAATCTTTTTAAAACAAAATATTAAAACAATGCAACCTAATACTCGAAATGTATGAACACATACTAACTTTTCTATTAGATGCTCAGCATATATATAAATATAGTACGTATATGTGCAACATGATTAAAAGAACTTTTATTTTAATAAATACGATACAATTTTTTTAACTTTATTAAAACAATTGCATGACTAATTATATATACATATTTACATATATCAATAACAGCTACTTTATATTTACTATTGATTTTAGTTTACCAATTCTTCATTTATATTTGATTTA